TATATATATATGTGAAATAATAAAGAGAAGAATTCGTCGAGAAGTTTCTTCTCTTTATTAAGTTCATAAGAAAGACAGACAATAGATCGAGGTCCAGAAAGGTCACACGGGAACATAAGTACCCGATGTACGAAAGAGAAAGAAAGAGATATACAAGAGAGAAAGATATATATATATACGAGTGAACAGAAAGAACATAAAGAACTATATGAAAGTAAAAGATATAACTATGTAACAATGTATATCTAAGAAGATCGATTGAGTTAAAAATCTACCAAAATTTGTTTTATTCTGTATGATATATTGAGTAACATCACAACAATCATCAAGCCAAACTGGATATTTATGTTCGGGTGCGAGACGATATTCTACAGAAATCCAGATTGTTTTTGTAGCACTGTATGGTTAGATAGATACAACATATGGACATAAATATAATCTACTTACTCAGCTATAGTATTAACAATTGTTTGATGAGATTTTCGACTACCAATGACCCAACCTAGTATATATGTCCGATACATTGATGAAGTTTTGTTTTACTTATCTTTTTAATCATACCTCCACCATGAAAATAAACACCCAATTTATCTTTATTGGCATCTGTTGGTGTATAGACGGTAATCGGTATTTCTAAATATATTAGATTTTTATATAAATTTCCTGATGAATGAACTTCAGACTATCAGATTTCAGTCAAAATAATGAACATTGTAGCATCACGATGTTACATATGTAAATTCATTTTTCGAAGTAAAATTCGACATTTTCAGAACAGACAATACCGATCTTATAGAAGAATTAATAAGAAAGTGACTAAAAACGTGAAACCAGCGACAACTGACTAGCGTGGGTACGGGTTATTACAGAGTCATACCCATCCTCTATCAGTGACATCGTACTCTAACAATACCGGAGTGTTTACGAAACCTTTTTAAGGGTTCAATGTATCTACGGATACTTTTTGGTTTTGCCATATTGATTTTCCATAAAATGCTTAGAAAGCGACAGTCACTTATAGAGATTTGTCTTAGCATTATCGAGAAGTGTAGTTATAATATCGCATAAAAGGAAGATCATTCCCTCATAGAATTGATATTTCAAAAGACAAGACAATTCCATTAATATTCAACATAATTCATTGCGATAACATGTACATTTTTTCGAATGAGCGAAAGGGATTAAGTATAAAATGCACTTGTATTATATCACTTTAGTATATAGCTGATCGATCTTTATCGAAAAGTTCATATTTACCTGTAGAATTAGTTTTCACTGTGTTTTCTTCTAAGGTACCGGTGAATGTTCCATAAAATTTTTCATTACATACATGATGAAGATATTCTATACCTTGACGCATTGCTGCTATCTCTAAATTATGACCCGGAGGTAAAGTATTTTGTAAAGCCACTCGTAAAAATGCACTTGTTTCATTAGTAAAACGTGGATCCCTTGAAAAAAATTGAATTGTTTTATATTATCAAAAAGATAACTTACATTAACGAAATATGTTTATTAACTAAAATGTCGCACAATGAAAATACAGAACAACGAGCGCTGTAGCTGTAAGTATATATTGTACTAAAAAGAGATAAAATGTTTGCCAAGCAGAACGAATAGATATATGTGAATCTATCCACATCCTCAGGAGAAAGGGGAGAGAGAGCGCGAGAAGAAGAAGAAGAAAAAAAGATGTATCCCATCGACAGTGTAAGATCTACGTAGATAAAATACTCAGTTGTGTAGCATAATTTAGTAGCAACGCATACGATTTCTGAAAAAAAAACTGAAATGATATGTAAGAGTTTGATAGTAATAAGAATTTCACTGAAGTACGAACAGGAATAAAGTGAATCTTTGATGATTTGTTCTGAATTAGTAAATTTAATTTGAAAAATGAAACCTTAAAATACAACTGGCAGTGTTATTTGCGAAAGTGATTTTAAATATCTATCAAAGAGTAATATATCAGATCAGGCACATTAATATTACATGTAATTTTAGGAATATGATGAGACTATAGAAGAGAGATAAATGTCATAAATAAAAGCAAGTTGTCTATAAAATACATACGCTCAAATTGTCGTTTCATATATATATTTTAACGGCCACCTGTCTTATAATAGTAAACCTGTTTTGAGAAGGCGAGCCAACGAGAATCAAATGTGAAGAGAAGTAAAGAAAAAATTATTAGAAAACAAATATACTATAGAACTGATAATGTAATAATTTCTTTGCAAATATGTACTTATTATGAAATGAGGAGGATGTCTATTGAGTCAATCAAGAAAACTCTAAATGAATGAATATACATATCTCTCTCAATATATATTATTGAGACAAAAACAAACGAACAACATCATTCCTATTGGTCAATACAACCACCAATAGGAATCGACAAAAACTTTGATGAAGATATTTTTTTATTTTTTAGCGTTGTGCTGGCGCCACATATTTGGACACTTTTTTAAGGGTTCTTATAGCTGAAATTTCCACTTAAAATATTAAAAAGAAATTTTAGTCATATTTAATTTACTAGCTCAAGTCGAGTTTACGAGATAATGATTGATTAAATGGTCCCATGTCAAACAAGCGCGATCGTATACGGAGAAATACGACCACGCACGACCGTGTTTTGCCGTATTACTTGATGCCGTATTACGATCGTATGTCTCCGTTGTGCCAAGAGAATAGATGGACATCCTCTCAAATATACCCCCCCCCCCCCCTTATCACATTTATCTTTCTCTTGTTCTGTATCTTTCGCTTGTTCTTTTTCTTTTCTCTTTCTTTTCGTATTCTGGTTTTTATAATATACTCAGTCTCAACACGAACACTTCGGATGGAGGTTGTACTCAACGTGGTGATACAATTATTCTGAATTGTATTGGAAGACTCGAAAACGGAATAGAGTCTGAACCTAGAAGCTCAAACAAGTAGCAATAGGAATCACTTTATTATTTTATTATAGTTTTATTGTCGTTATATTTTCCTTTTATTTATTCAATAAAAGATTCATATTCTTTATATATTTGATTTATTCACTTTTCCGTTACATCCGTGCGATAAACGGAAAAATACGATCTTTTACGACCGTTTTTCTCCATAAACGATCATACTTTTCCGTATACGATACCGAGACATACGATCGTAATACGGCCACAGGTAACACGGCAAAAAACGGTGAGATACGATCGTATATGGTCGTATTTTTTCCGGATACGATCGTATTCAATCGTTTACGAAGTTCGTAATAATCGACCTGGGCGGTATTAGCTCACAATAATGGCTGCATTTAATCAATAGAATTCTATTGGTGGTAATACTAATATCTTTTCTCCTTTCGACAGATAAAAAATTGACGTTCACAACTACAATGCATATGGTTCAACTATATTAATATCTTATTATTTCGCCAAGGTAAATGCCTTCTAAAATTATTCTATGTGTTGTTCATGGTAAAACAGGTCGACTTGCTCGTTTAAATTTTACACAACTTTGTACAAGTGAAAGAGAACCAGAAGTTCGTTTAGCATTACGAATTCGATATAAGAAGAAATTAAATCATCGACTCCTAAATGAACATGTACATAAGTTGTGCTATAACGTACTCGTCTACGATCAGTGCTAAGTCTGGAAGACCAAGGCGAAAAGAATAAGTATTCGAATTAAATATTAAGTTCTTGTTCTACTTTAACCGATATTACCAACAATCAATCAACACCTACTTGGGTCTGACCAAAAGTTTGTACATCGATAGAGAAAATATGAAGATAAAGAAAAAGTTTTAATTTTATTTCATTAAATGTTCAAAGTAGTCATCACGATTATTTATACAAAGTTTCATTCCTTCCAACAAATTGTCAAAGGTTTTTTTAAACTCTTCTACTGAAATTTTTTTTACTATCTTGTAAACCGCGCAAGACAAAGATTTTTTATCTGGTTGATCGGTCAAACGGTTCTTGGTATAATCGTTTAGCCAATGATTACATGGTGCAAGGTCAGATGAATATGGTGTATGCAGCATTATATTGATACCTTCTTGTGTTAGATAGTTAATAACATCTGAATGGCGATGAGGTCCAGCATTATCATGAAGCAGTTTTATACCTTTTGTACCATTTGACCTTCTTAGTTTCCATATTTCCTTGACAACGAGCTTGAGCATCTTGAGGGCGGGTGTAGGTGTGGGGGAGGAGCGCAGCTAAGTGCGGGTGCTCGGAAGGGTGCAGATGAATGTGGGCGCCTGGAACGGTGTGGAGGGGGAAACAGCTGTGTTTGAGTACATGGACTGATGTGCGACATAGCCGTATATTGAGAGAATACGCCTATTCACCTATTATATTTAAATAGCTGGAGGCGCCTACTAATAAATTTAATAGTTGAATAGTTGGAGAAGAAGTTTATTAGTCGGACCGAGTTAACGATTTCTACACTATTCGGTGAGAGAAACAGGTAAAAGAGCTATTGAAAGTTTGCCAAAATATCAAGTTTCTGTGATACTAACATCGAATCCTGTTAATTAACATTGAACGGTAATATATGTGGAGTGATTTTAGTTTCTGAAATCAAGGTATATGTTATAAATATTCATTGTAACAAACGATATGATATAGAATTCTATAAGATCTAGCTAACATTATTTATTATTTTAAAATGAATAAATCACCATATATTGAAAGTTTTTTTTACTCTCGTATTATATAAAATTAATCAGCTCGCAATGCAATTAGTGCGTGTAAAAATCATAGAAGTTTTCTTTGTTAAATAGATACCATAAAATCTTGAATAGTATTAATTGATTCTGCAACCGCTTGTGGAAAAATTCCTAATAAACAAAAATAATTTAGTAAGGAAAAACATTCTTTTATCCGCCTTACCAGGTAAACTGAAAAACCCATGAATAACACCTTTAACAACTAATAGTTTCGTTTGAACACCGGCTTTTTCAAGTAGTTTTTGATATTCTAAAAGATAACAGTAGAAATTACATAAAAATACATTTTTTTCATACCTAAGCTTCCATCTCGAAGAGGATCAAGCTCCGCTACAATGAATAAACATGGTGGCACATCTTGTAATGATGTATTATATAAAGCAGATATTCGTGGATCTTTTAAATTTTGCGAAGTTTCAAATGCATGTTCTTTAAGCCTATAAATAATCAGGATAATATATATTATTATTCAATCGTTCTTTTACCAATCCATTAATTCAGGTGTAAGAACATACATTTGATGAGTAAATTCATTGTAAGATGGTGTTTCACGAGTAATATCTAATCCTGCATAAATTAGAATCTATTGATAAAAGAGAACTGAATACAGTTGATAATGATTAAATAAATCTATACTTGAAAATCAATGCCTTTAATTGTACGTGCAATTGATGCCGAAATCATTCCGCCAGCACTATCACCAGCAACACCGATTTTAGCATATTCATTGACACCTAAAAACAAAATCAAGAGCAAATATATGTATATCTAAGAAGATCGATTAAATTAAAAATCTACCAAAATTTGTTTTATTCTGTATGATATATTGAGTAACATCACAACAATCATCAAGCCAAATTGGATATTTATGCTCGGGTGCGAGACGATATTCTACAGAAATCCAAATTGTTTTTGTAGCACTATACAATTAGATAGACATAACATATGGAGATCAATATAATCTACTTACTCAGCTAAGGTATTAACAATTGTTTGATGAGATTTTCGACTACCAATGACCCAACCTATTATATATGTTTGATACATTGATGACACTTAGTTTTATTTATCTTTTTAATCATACCTCCACCATGAAAATAAACACCCAATTTCTCTTTATTGGCATCTGTTGGTGTATAGACGGTAATCGGTATTTCTAAATATTCAAGATTATTATATAAATTTCCTCATGAATGAACTTCAAACTGTCAGATTTCAGTCAAAATAACGATTAGTTATAGAATTAACCTATAATGAACATTATGATATTACAATGTTACATATATATATCCACCCTTTATCAGTGACATCATACTCGAACAATAATGGAGTGTTTACGAGACCAAAAAGTTCATATTTACCTGTGGAATTGGTTTTCACTATGTTTTCTTCTAGAGTACCTTTGAACGTTCCATAGAATTTTTCATTAGATGCATGATGAAGATACTCGATCCCTTGACGCATTGTTTTCACCTCTAAACTATTACCCTGAGGTGAAGCATTTCGCGAAGCTAGTTGTAAAAATGCAATTGTTTCATTAGTAAAACGTGGATCCCTTGAAAAAAACTGAATCATTTTATATTATTATAAAAAAAAAATTTACATTAACGAAATATGTTTATTAACCAAAATGTCGCACGATGAAAATATAAAACAACGAGTGCTGTAGCTGTAAGTATATATTGTGTTAAAAAAAAGATAAAATATTTACCAAAAAGAACGAATAGATATATTTAAATCCACGTGGTTTCTTATCACTTACGAACTGTTATAAACACACGTACTCGTAGAAAAAGACAAGAAATTGAATGACTTATGAAACACGAAAGTGATATTTCTTCTTTAGCAGACTTTCGTCATTAGAGAAATGTGTTACGTTTAATATTCCGTAGAAACGAAAGAAAAGATCAGATATATGTAAGGATGAGTGGGTGGGTGTAGATGTGGAGTGTGTTAGCTTCATATTAAAGCAACGAAAGGGCAATCAGCGAGAGAAAACAAGAAAAAGAGAAATGGAGAAAAATATGACCTTCGTGGGACTCGAACCCACATCTTCTGCTATACAGGCAGATTTGCTAAGTCAGTTATTTCGGCTAGTTTCTCAGAACTTAGAACTGCGAACTGTCCTAGATCTAAGGCAGATAGCAATCTAAATTCTGAGATATTTCCTAGACTGTAAGATAGGATCTCGAAAGGGGAATTATCTATTTAAATGCATTCTTTTTGTCGATAACATGATACATTTGACTATCTCGGTCTTTGGTACAAACGACCATTTGTTTGGCGCAAGTAATCATGTAACTATGGCATATTTTTGATGATATAATTTTATTTGCTAATATCGTTTTATTTGAGTAGCATAATATTTAATTTATTTGAGTCAAAATGGCGCCAACTTAAATATTTGAAGTATTTCTTATATAATTTTACTTTTAATATGGAAGAAGATGAAAATAATATTAATAATAAAAAATCAAACATTCGTATACATAGAGTATTATAAAGTTTTGAAAAAAATCTTCGTCTATTTTTATTTAGCATGTCATTTATCATCATCCACAAATATTTTTGACGCACGTTTGAAAAAAACGATGATGTACAGAAACGCCGTATGCGACGACTCAAGAAAATAAAACTCAGGATTAGAAGCTTAAAAACATATGCATTGTAATTTGATAATTTTAAAAGATTAGTTATTGGATTATTGGAAAACATTTTTAATAAGTTTATCCGTTTAATAATCTTGCTGCAGTGCATATAGATATAAGAGTTCCAACTCAATTTTGATATATAATGATAGAGAGATCTACACTGTCATTTATTTTGAAACTCTACTTTTCATAAAATTGACTACAATAAAGCTAAAGCATTTTTAAACATTATTATTCATACGTCAAATATCTAACTTTTAGAAAATGCTTGATTTTATGCTGAACGTCAACACTAATATTAATCAACTCTCATTCGTATCTAAATACAGTTATATCAGCATGCAGACCGCGACAGTCTAAGGCCAAGTGAATCGAGTTTCGATGAACAATACTTGTATTATAGACGAAAAAGTGATTAATACATAGATATTCTTTTAGGCTGTTGCTCCTGTCACTCAACGAACATGTAGTTTGCAGTTCTGTATGCCACCGCTCTCGTGAATAAGTATTGATCAATAGTTACCATCAAGACTGTAAAAATGCGTCATTCTTTCTGTTGCTGTTGATGGTTATTTACAAAAGAAAAAGAAGAAATTAAAATATTATTGTTGCCTATAGTTCTGATGAGACACATGTTATGACGTCAGAATTGCTTGGAAATTTCTATGTATTACTTATTCGCAAAGTGATGCTCTCTCGCGTGTAACAAAATTCCCTGACTGCTTTTATTCCTGGGTTTTTTTCCAGAGAGATACTATAAAACGACAAGACACAACAAGGATTGATTCATTTGTATTATAAGTGATTGAAGAAATAAGAACATCACTTGGTCAACAAAAACTGCAACAAGAACAAGAAGGTAAGCTGATTGAAGAGTAGTCTGTTTTACTGTATCAGTAAATGTTCAAATATAATTATTATCTATCTCTTCGTCAAAAAATGTGTCTTTGAATCACTCAAAAGGTCTTTTTCGGTACACTGTATTGAAACTTTTTAAAATTTTTCTTACAAGAAATATCGTTTCAGTTATTACTGAATATAATTAACTCAATACGAACGTTAGATATATCATGTATGAACGACTCTTTCTAAAAGAAAAACATATCTAGTAAAATCATGTTGTCTATTACCTAACGCTTCGCTTGACCTATGTACTTTCTTTTAGAGATTCGGAGACATTGTTTTCATAGAAAACTTCTTCAAAATTGAGAAAAATATATCTTTGAGAACACACATTGAAAAATATTTTATGAAGGCCATCTCTTGTACTTGTAAATCTATGTGTAGGCGTGGGTATGAGTGTGTTTTCTATATCCCATATCCGCACTCGCACCCACACCCTTTATTAACTAGGAAAACTCTGAATGGTATGATTGGCTGGATTTAACCAATATTTACATATCTTGGAAGAAACTCATGCAATTCATCCATGGACATTATGTGTTTATTCTTGAGTAATAATATTGCCACTCATAAAGAAAATGATTAAAACAAACAGCGATTTTTTTCTTTTGTTCTTTTCCTACTTACCAACAGACATTTATAAGATTTCAAATATAATTATATAAGAAGAAAGAAAAGAAAACTATATTATAAAAATGATATCAATGCAACGTGTGGTTATTTTGAAAGTTTCTCGACAAACTGTGGAGAAGTAAAAATACAATGACAGTAAATAGGCACGGGTAAGGGTGAGAATTAGAGACAATAAACCTACACCCACGCTCACCCTGAAGTACTGCCCCTTCTTTGCTCCCGCTCTCGTTTGACCATGTTTCTCGAGTCGCCTTCAAACTGATAGTGCTTCGCAACTCATGGCTATATATGAGAATTCCTTTTTTTCTGCTTTACACTTATTTCCTTTTTAAAATGAAATTACCCTTGTCTGCTACATGGTTATAATGAATCGAAGCTGTCGCATACATAATTTCCAGTATTGACTTCAGATATCGAGCTGCGATTTTCGACGAAAAATTTAAAGGTCAATGCGTGTTAAAATAACGAGACTAAAATCTAATTTTCAAAATTCATTTAAGTAGCTCCTGTGAAACTAAGTTGAGGTTTATATAGAATGACTCATATAGAACTCTTAGACTATTGTAGGGACTCTTGTGTCCGTCAGATAAAAAAAAGATCTCGCTACATAAAATTATAGAACTGTTCTACTATTCCGGCTTGCTTTTAAGATACTTAAAAACAAGAAAATCTACAACTCTTTATGTCCTTTTGTGTATTTATGAAACTGATACTTGTACACAAAAGTAACCCAAATTGTCTTGGTTTGCTGATTCTGTGATCTGTTTTCACGCATTTTGAATTTTTAAAGTCATATAATCCTAAAAGAGAGTTTTATCGGAAAACCATACTGAACACGATTTGTTTATATTATAGAAGAATCAATCATGGCTGATGCTTGTTCTAATTTCACTGAACAGCAATGGAAACCAAATATATGTCGGGAATGTTCTCGACCAAAAGAGCAGCATCAACAAAGAGAAGCTTCTAACGTCGTTAGTTCAGAAAGTAACTTATCAGGTACGTTTCTTTATTACAGTGTAGGGTGTGGGTGTGAAAATAATCTTTTACCAAATTGACACTCATAACTACATCAACAATCACACCCACACCTCCAGACCATTTCGATGAAACTCTCTTTCCTTTTTTAGATCAGTTAGAACGTGGTAAACAAGACTTCATAGCAAATACCGTGGTTGATACTATTTCATTTTCACCCGAAAGCAAATCAGTAAAAGAGAAAGTAGCTCACTTCGAAGCACTGATAAAAAAACAAGCAAGATCGAAGTCCTACTATGAAAGATTTCCGAATATTCTCGATGTAACAAATGAGACGCGATTGGAAATTAAACAAGCTAAAGAATTTACAAGATCGATATTACAAAACTTGCCATCAGGAAACGTGCAGGACAGAAATACCATGTGTCATATTATAAGTAATTTGCTTGGAAATAAAGATCAGCAATGCTTGTTTTATAATTCTTCGATTGGTATAAACCTTCATGATGCATCTGCAAATTTAGCCGATCTGAACTCAGAAGACAAACCATTTATATTAAAATTACATAGTAGCAAAGGATTAGGAAAAAACAATGTTAAACACGAACAAGATGATTCAAGTCTTGCTCAACAATTAAATGATGTGATTGAGCAAAAGCAATCTCATCCAGTTATCGAAGACATATGTGAACGATTAGCAAAAGCCCATAATGTGGATAAAAAAGATATCAAAATTATAAGTGTGTATGAAGGAACCTTCAATGTGGTTTATACTATACCAAATTTGAAATCTGTCGATAACCAATCACTGTTGCAGCTTGAGAAAAACTTGAAGAATGAGTTTAATGAATTTCGAAGTATAAAAATTCATCCATTACTATCATGTCGTCCTTCATTTGATATATCAGACTTTGATGAGCGTGGTAATAAAACTTTTCCTAAATACTCAAGTACTCATCAAATTGGACCACCTAAACGGACCATGCCGTACATTCAACCTGCCGGATGGACAAGATATGGATTGAGAGTGTTGGGCAAATATAAAGATGGTGATACTTGGCTAGATCCATTTCTACATTCTGCGAATTGGTATAGAGCGTTCCATGGAACTAAAAACGCAAGACCTGAAGACTTTGGCAGATCTGATGGATATATTGACGGACGCAATACACCTATCGATGCTATGTTGAATATTCATCAAAATGGATTCAAAAAAGCAAGGTTTGCTGTATATGGGCCTGGTGTCTATTGCTCTCCGGATCCCCAGTGGCTCGAGAACAGCTACTATGTAGCCACTGTAGAAATAGACACTAAGCAGGGAAAGAAAAAGTATAAATGTATGTTGCAAATAGCTGCAAATCCCGACGGTGTCAAGTTCACTTCTGAAAGTGATATTTGGGTTGTATCAAATCCTGAAGATATTCGACCATACGGAATACTTATCAAAGAAGCATGATATTGCGTTATCATCAAGATTAATTTTTAAAATTTTTTATTTTCTTTTTCAATTAAAATCACGATAATTTATACAAGAACTTCGTAACATAATGTTTATTTCTATTTATTCAGTATTGGGTGTGGATGTGGGTCTGAATGTATGTGTAAATGTGAGATGACTTTATCTCCCACACTCACAAGATTTCACTTAATTATATTAGTCACGGTTTGTAACAGCAGTTACTTAACACGTCATAGTTAACATGAATTAATCAATAAGTGCTGGTTAACATGAAATAAATTGTAATAATTAACGATTTCTATTACAGCCTGCCCTAGTAAACGCACTGAGCGCAACGTATCGTACTAATAATATGTCGGGGAGCGTGAGGGCACTTTTCGAGTTTTTTCAGTATTGACTTTATGATCCTTCTAATTTTTTAATAAACTAATTTTTTGAACATTTTCTACACAATTGTATACAATGTAAAATTTTTGGAATTATAGTTTGTAGAAAATCGACTCTAGATAAGTTAAAGCATTCTCGAATCTTTATTATTTATTCATAGAATTTCAAATATTCAGAAAATGTTTGATTTTCCGTACTAAAGAAATTCAGTTGCAATCTAATCGAAAATCATTTGAATAATGAGCTTCATAAAGTCTTTGTTCATTTGTCTATATAAGTTATAATCGACAGTTGTGGAGAATAGATAAGTTATATTTTTTTTATTTAGAGTTTTCCTTCAAGTTTTAAATTTGAATAGAATACTATGATTTATTTCCATCTATTGTTCTCATACACTAATCGTTCAATGAAATGTATTTATTATTTTGATGCATTAATAATCAATGATGTATCTCTTGAAAATAGAAAGTCTTCATAGATTTTCTTGAAGAAGTGTGTAGATACTGTATTATTCATACATTCACATCTCGCTCAAGCCATAATCACACCCACGCCGACTGTTACTTTTGCCTTCTGAGTTCTAGGATTTTTTATTCAAGTCAAAACTTCTGTCTCCAAATAATACTTTCACTAAAGTTTTTATAATCGATGCTGTGAAATATTTGCATTTCAAATCATTCAGTCCATGATTTTAGTTCAATATATTGTCTTTTTGATTAATTAAACATGATTGTTCACGCACTACTTTACTCGATGTCATCTAATTGATTTATCTCGATGAATATAAATGTTTTCGATAATAATTTCATCAAAATTATCTTAAAATTCTTGTCCTTTATAACCATCAATGCTATAGTGACATCAGTGTAATTATTAATTACATATATTTTATGATTAGATGACAATAACAGTAAATAAAGTATTGGAAGCTAAGATTATGCCATTCTATTCTTGATAGAATCATAAATTATATTCATTCAAAATTTTATCGAAAAGAAAAAATGAAGCTCATTTATTCGATGCATACAATAAATTTTGCGAGAAGTAATTTTTATTTACTGATTTGTCTAACAGACAAATTATCATAGTATATGTAACTATCAACATCGGATTTCCAATGATCACCGCTTCCACCACGAAATCTAAAACAAAAAAGTCAAGTGACAGATGAGAGAAATATTTCCAAAATTAAACATACGTATGAAAAGATAAATTACTGATAAGTCGTTTACTATCATTGGTTGTCCAAAGAATACTTTGATCAATCAGTGTGTCTCCATTGATTTTTATTTGAACATGTCCATTAGCATTACTACCAGTATTCGATTTTACATACATATGAACTTTATACCATTTACCTTTTTCAAGACTACCTAAAAAAAATAAAAAATAACATTTTCATTGGTTTCATATATTTCTTTAGGTATCTGAGTTTTTCTAAAATAATAATACATACCAGATGATGGATATAACTTTCCAAAATTACTTCCACAAGGACCTGCCATTCCTGCATGATATACATATGGATAGAAATAGACTCGTTTTCCATCGTTGTACCACATCAATCGTAGAGTTCCACCTGCTCCATCGAATGGTACATTACATCCAGTATTTCGATTTCCAATACCTAAGCCAAAACCAACTTTTCCACCACGACTCCAATCAAATTGACTGTGAAATCGAACATCAAAATCTAATTCATATGCAGAACCATCTGGAATTCGAGTAGCAGATACGATACCAGATTCTCCGGATAGAGCATTTTTTCTTAAAGTAATACGTAAGTTTTTGTTTGAAATCATTGCACGATCATTGTGCCATCCACTGACTGAACCAAAGTCAGATTTAGCCATCGAATCAGAATACTGTCCATTAGCATAATTATCCCAATTGATCGATTTTTGGTATAATTGTGTCGATCCTTAATTACATAAACATAAAGAAATAGATACAAAGAATGTTATGTTTACTCTAATTACCCAAATCAATCAAGATTAATGACAAAACAATCACCACAACTAATTGTATCATGTAATACAAAAAAATATCAGAAATAATAACGCAAGTGACTTATTCTTTATCAAATGAAGATAAAAATAGATAACTGTAATTGTATGCTACTTCATTTTATAGATGAATACATCTCGCTAATCTTTAACAAATATTTTGTTGCTTTTTCTTAAATATTTTTTTCTACCATCTATATCAGTACGTAGTTGAGTATCAGCTGTCACATTTCAATTTATTTTTAAATTGCTTTTTGAGTATCAATGTACTTTTTCTTTATATGACTTTGACTTCAGCTGGAGAAGTAATGAAACACGACTCCAAACTCGGGATTAAGTCAGGCACATAGGAGCTTCTTTAGATTTTGTGTTTAGTTCTTTTTCTTTTTTGCTCATTTTTGTCATTACTGACCATTTTATTCTTTACATACTACTCATCAGTAAAAGTTGTTCAGTTTGATAATTTCTTTTTCTACAAAATGATGTCATTCAAACAATACTTTATACAAGTTCGATGTAAATACGAATGATTTGTAGAGATTTCTATAGCAGAAGCAGAAGAGAAAATAACTTATACAGACAACTAATCGATTCTTTCGAAATTTATGCGGCAATAGAATGTATATCACGCTGTGAAACTAGTGCTTACAAATTATAAAAGAAAAGTTTGAAAGAATAACAATACAATAAAATACTTTATTGAGTATTTTGTTCATTTCGTTGAATACTACCAACGACGCTTTTTTTGTGTATCTGTCTTGGATTTATGGTCTGATATGTCAGGGTGTGGGCGTGGGTAGGTAAGAGATGATTATAACATCTACACCCACATCCTTAAGATCTTGATTAGATAAAATTAAACCATAATTTCAATTCAATCGCAACAAAACTTTGTACCAGCAATAAGAGACAATTGAATATACGTGCACTTGGAAAAATGATATGTAGGAAATTATTAATGGATGTCTTCTGTGTTCTTTGTTAGGATGAATACTGGTCAGACCTCTGCATATTATTAATGCGCTTTTGACTTGGTAGAAATAAACATTATTAAATAAGATTTGTCTTCTGATGTCGCGGAAAGATTTTTTTACTCCTATGAAACCTGAAAATTTCAATTATATGGTTGCTTCGTATTGATTACATTGAGAAATATAGTTGAATGCACAATAAATTAAAAGAAGAAGGACATCGTAAAAAAGTACATTCAATCTTCTCGATGAGACGACTATAACAACAATGCGAAACCTCATAACAAAGTATACATTGTATAATTATATCATACATGTATTAACTCAGCTTATGCCATTGTACATATATATATGCTAATATTTTCATTGATGAAAAGAAACGTATTGATTGTATTTATTTCAAACAACGTCGTAGTGTCTTTGACAGCATTGAAAAAATGCAGAATTCTAAAATACGTGTAACACGAATCAAATCAAAACGATGTACTATTCATCGAAATCAGTCTGAACATGTAAGTTAACTCTGATCAAATCTAAGATAAACATAACAATCTGTCCTTTGATTTCGATTATATCTTGTCAATGTTTAAAGTAATGTATGAGACTTATGTTCCTAAATAATATAGTATAGAAAATATTGTTAATTGACTATAGCTTGTAGAAAAAGTACTATATTGAACCTTTCTGATTTTATAATTTTAACAGGCAGGAACAACGACTGGCTTGTATGAGTCGTTTCATTCTAAACAAGCAATATATGAGCAAGACTTAACAAGTAAACAAATGGACTCGGTACCTTTGAAAATGGCTGTTTCTTCTTCAACAGTTTCTGCACTAAAAAACAAAATGATGAGAAAAACAGCAACCGTAGCAATGGCGCCTATTCCCGAACAAAGACCGAAGTCGAGCACCATCAACCCACATCATCAGGCTATGAATGACAGTTTTGCTCCGAGTAGTGTTTTTGTCAACGATATAGGAACGCAAAATTACATCAATCTTGCAACCGAGTCACCGAAATTCTCATCACGTTTCAAGACACAATTGTCGATTTTACCAAAGTCCAAACCAGTCCAGGTAATATATTACTTATTTCTGTTCGAATCGAATATTTTTCTACGTAGGATAAAAAATCTACCAAACCAGTTTTACAGTGTGCAAATCCATCTCAAGTTCGACTATAAAAACTTGACGGTATATACACTCATGACTGTTTTTCTATTGTAGAAGGTGGCACCTACAAATAGTAGCGACGAAGACAGTGATGTAGCACCGTCAACACCACGATTTGCAGTTCAGAACAACTTTCACCCAACGAGAAAAATACCACTAAAACTTTTTTCATTGTCCAAACTTGACAAAACCAGTCAAAAAGTACGATATTCTGTCCCGGATGACTATGAGCAACCAAACAACAATCGACGACGTCGTTCAAAATTGTTCTGTAGATGTTGTCCTTTTTGGTCACCGTGCTGTTGTTTGATAACAAATCTTCTTTTGGCATTGCTTCTTGCTGGTCTTGCAACATTAATTGTCATACTAATGACAATGAATCAAAAATCCACTGTTAAAATAAGTATAGTGTCCTGTTTTCGTTGAAGTTTGCTTCTCATTATTCATAGTATATTTTATCGACAACAATATTAACAACGACTACCAGCACAACTAACCAAACCTCTACGACTACCAGTAGAGCTAGCCAAACGTTCACGCCTGCTAGTACAACCAGCCAAACGTCTACGCTTTCGATCACAACGACGACTATAAATTCCACTAGCACGACTTCAACCAGTACTACGACTATTACCAGCAATATTTGCACTGGGAGTTTAACAGACGTATCACAACTTCTTTATTTGGATTTAACCTCATCTCTTCCATGGACGATGTATTCGTTCAACTATACCGCACCCAACATTACCTCGGCTAAACTTATGTTCGCACTGCGTAATGATCCAGCATTTTGGTATCTGGATGATATTTCTGTAACTAACAGTTTGGGAATTCAGCTCTTATCAAACGGTGGTTTCGAATTGGGTACTCTTTCAGGGTGGACGTATTGTAATCCTAGCAATGCTCCTTCTTCTGGTACCATTAGCACAGGAAATTCTCATACTGGTTCCTATTCTTATGCGGATGGATCAGTAGGTTCCAGCGACTATTTGAGTCAAACATTTGCCGTTGTACCGAACAATATCTATTCTATCACATTTTGGCTTTCTTCGAGTTCCAGTAGTGCAACTTTTGCTCTCGTTACCATTGGCGCTTAACCAAACTTTCAAAATGGATTATCTACTCTGTACGAGAGAAGAACTGTAGAGTATCAAATCAGTTATAAGCTGAACAATTAATAGAAATACTGACTTTTAGTTTTTATCTTTCTTTAGAAAACTTGTTGCATATTTGTACTATTATATTTATCACTATTAGATGATGATCAATAAAAGAAGTGTGGGTGTGGATGTAGATAGTTAAAGATAGGAGACACATATATCCGCCATCAAAGACAATTTCGAGAAGTAAATAACATTTAGCACTCTGCTAGAAAAATAATCCACGATTTGTACGATCACACAAATATTCTTGCAGTGGAATGAAAAAAAACGTCGTAGTATTTTAATAAAAGCATGTCTAAAAATATTTCATAATAAATGTTTTCTAGTCTAACAAACGCATGATTTTTATTACAATAATAAGACGTGCCATCAGTTATCACTACTCACTCTCTATAGGAAGGTAAATAGATCTCATATCAATTTTACTATTGCTTTTGTTGCATTCTGATATATAAATCTGAGATTTCGGGCTGTTGACGTACGTGTTATTGCCGGTATGATTTTGATTTTTTAATAAGCATGGACATTTATTACTTTTTTCCTTCATATTTATCAAAGAGAAAAATAGAGTTTGAGATACATCTGTTGGTGATTTAAAGTAACATAGGCTTGAAGAACAGGTAGGTAACAGAAAAATCTACTGATGACGTACACAAAATAGTATCATTTATATTTAGTTGAACAAATATAAATTTGAAGACTAAAATTTATTTCAAAATGGGTAGCTGTCAATCATCATTGTCTCGAATAGAAAGAGACGCATATGAAGATATTATCAGTAGTATTCCTATCCATTGCCAACAAGAAATTATTAAATTACCAAAAAAAAAATTTTTTAATATCTATAAATTTCATTTAATAGCTAAATATTATCTTCAACAAAAAGAATATCAAATGGCACTTTTAAACGAATGTCTAGCAATTCAGAATTTAGAACTTCTGTTATCCGATCATAAAGATCACGTGATTTTTGCACCAATGCACAACTTACTTTCATTATGTTTCTTGGAAACGATGGACATGCAACTGGCCATTCTAGAAGGATTAATAACCTTGAAGATAATACTGAAACATATGGCAACAGAATACCTAGAAATAGGTTTACAATATTTTCGAGTAGCTGTTTTCTGTCTATTGGGAAGACAATTCAAATCAGCTGAACGATATTTCATAAAATCTATTGAAATAGCACAACCTGGCGTTGGATTGCAACTAGATTTCATTCAGAAAGTAGAAGTACTTCTTCAAACGACAAGGTAAAGAAATCTATGAACGAAAAGATAACTAGCTTTTGATTCTATTATATATTCCTTGAGTAGAACGTATGTGATATTAGTTAAACATTTTCATTTAGTTCACTTTTCTTTTGTTTAATAGAGCACAAATTAGTGGTTCACCATTACGAATTATACCAATTAACTATGAGTCAGGTCTTGATGAGAATCGAGAAGATCTTATACGTCGTGCAACGAATGAAATGAGTGTCATCGCTAATCAATTTGGAACGTTTCAAATTGATGAGACTGAATTGAAGCGTTTACCTGATAAGCAAACGGAATTACTAATTAATGACAATATTTTAAATGATATTTTGAATAGTTTAATAACTTTTCTAAAAGAAAATGACTCGTTGAATAAATTAGGAATAAAAGGTAGTGGAATTTGTTTTGTCGCAGCATATTTCAAAAGTATACAAATGGAAACAAGTTCATTGTCAATTCCAATTATCGAAGCTGGATTAACAATAGTTATTAATCAAATCAATGATGACGATCGATTTACACCATTGAAACAATTACCATTTACGATTTCCTTTACTGACGATGATCAATCGAATATAGCAGGCGTGCGTGTGTTTCAAATCAAAGGAATTATAACATCTAACAAACAATAACAAGTCCTTTTTTCAGATTTTATCATCGAAAATAAATAATTACTTTTTTTTGTCATTTGCTTCATAGAAAAGAAATAAATTTTGGAGATTTCTTCATCTTTCAAAGAAGCAACGTTTAATTGATATGTGCATCCAAAGACCAAGAATAGGTTTTTTTCAAAATTCAATCTTTAGTTGAGTAAAACTCGCTATTGTGTTTGCACTTTGAAAAAAATTATAAAATGTTTCAAAATGTGATTGTAAATAAACGATGTATCTATTTAATGTACGTACAAAAGACAATTGACTATTACTTAAAATCTGGAAAATATCCCACTTTACAACAGTTACAATAGAAAAAGCCAGGGAACTAACAAAATTTTGTTTTATTGTACGAACACTTAAATAAATTAATATATATGCCTATATCGTTTGAACCGATCAAAAATCGTTTGTTAAGTGTGAGTGGATGTGAGCACAACGCCTCTGAACCTTCACTCACACCATCAAGATGTGTTTTCATGCGTTTTTTTCAAAGTAAAGTTTGACTAGATAAACAAAATTGAATGAAAATGACAACCGAAATTAGTTCACCTTTTTGTGTGTTCTTTATCTTTGGCAACCTTTTAGCAGTTGATAGAAAAATATCGACATTTACCACTTTTCTTTTAATGTCAGAAAGTGAGAATAAATAACAAGTTACTTTTGATTTCTTTAGCTATATTTCACTATGAGTCGTGTAATGCAGAGTGTTATTAAACAATATTTGTTTCTAACGTTGATATTCGTAAGTTTCAGTAGCTCTATATCTTCTGAATTCGATATCAAATGTAAATTTGCTGGAAAACAGAATACTCCGTTTTGGGCTGGCGACATTATCGCTGGTACACTCGAATATACCCACAGTAAATATCCGGAATGGAATATAACGAATATCAGGGCTGTACTGTTTGGCATGGTTTCATATAAAGCGAGGTTTTTTGAAAAGAGATCACGTCACAGCTATGAATTCTTACGTGAACGACTCATCTTACGACCGGCCAATGGTTCAAAAGATCTTCTTCCAGCATTTTACAACTACAGTTGGCCGTTTAGTTTCCGTCTTGACAAATCTTTACCACCTACGGTTCAAAAGATTCATTCCAAAAGCGCAAATGTTTATTACTACATTATGTTTCTGTTTGAACGACCCGAGTGGTATAGAAAAGATCTTGAAAAAATTTGCTCCATTAATATTCAACATTTATCGTCGTTGACAAATGCGAAGCAAGTTGAAGAACGAAAAAAGAATGGAAAAGGTATTCACCTTCATATTATTCTTCATAAAAATATAGTCGTTGTTGGAAAAACCTTCTCATTTACAGTTAACTTGCAAAACTGGAAGAAAGCACTCATACATCGCATATCCGCTACTCTGTTACAGACAGTAACAGGAGGTCGTATCACAAAAGAAAAGTCCGTTCTATATACACAGACTCTTGAAGGAATGCATTCATTTCAAAATGAAACTTTTCATCAACAGTTCGAATTACCTGTTCCTCTCATTGCTGCATCCACGTGGGCTGCAAATTCTTCTTTCGGATTTCTTAAAGGCAAACCACTTGTCGTGAGCCATCAACTCCAAGTCGAAGCTCATATTCGTGGTTTCTACACCAATATTCGTCTGAAGATTCCACTAACCATTATCTATACAAACGAAACACAAAACTGATCCAATGTTGTTATCATAAATGAATTCTATTTTCTTAGATTATATCTAAATCCTTGTGTTCCCATGAACCCCTATTCAATAAATCAAAGTTAACCTTTGAGAGTGAGTGTGACTTCAAAGAAAGACACAGTTGTTTTGAGTATCGGACTGTTTTAAACGACATTTGGTAATATTTTAATGTAGATAAGAGAAATTTTTTTAGATCGATATGACTTCAATCTTTAAATATCATCACTGATCGTAATTGTCAACGCAGATAAAACAGAGGATGAGGATAAATGATTTACAAGAATTCTAGTAGCATCGAATGTCATATTCCAGAAAGTAAAAGATAAATTTTTATTAGCAGTGAATAGATTTGATCGTTGAGAAAATTCTTAGAAGAGCTATTAAACGCTTTTTCATAAACTAAACAACAATATTTACACATTAAACAAAATGCAAAGAGCTACTTTTTTCAAATAGAGTTACTAATCTCTTTCTCTTATCTTACTAGAAAAGTAAGGCGTGGCTACCATGATAATCAACAAGAATATTATTTTAATTAAGAAAAAAGATCAATAAATAATTCTCATTCTTTTTCAATAATTAAAATAGTTAACTGTTTCTAGAGTTTATTTATTAGAATGAAATTAAGAGAAAAATATGATAAATAATGATTCACCATGAGAATTCAGTACAAAAAAGATTGATCTAGTAGATGAAAAACTTGATAGTGTTAAACGATGTAGGACGATGATTCATGTAAATGTTCATTCGGCTTTAATCGATCGGTTCTTATCACCGAATCAACTTTCTTCCCAATGTCAATTATTATCTAAAATAAATAAGTACGACTAATTATATATTTTTATATGATTATAAAAGTTTGGTTAGAGTTCATCTATGTGTACTTTCTAAACACATGTTATATTGCAAAAAAATGCATTTAAATCAATAACAATGTCTTGACAGATTCTAACTAGTTATTAATATGAATTAAATATTAAACATGAGGAAAATAAATTTGAACGAGATAATATTTTCAAAAATCTCAGTTGTTTCTTGGTCTCTAATAAGTTGAATTAATACTCATCACAAAATAAAACATCTTTTATACTATTTCTCTATTTATCGATCATTGTTAAGAGTGTCGAAGATCATGCTCTTAGAAAACGACATAAACATGTTTCATGATAGTATTATTTCATATTGCTTAAAAACCTTTCGTTTTCGTATCTCAATCAAAATATAAATATAGTCTATTCAAATAATCGTACTTACATAGTAAATAATACGAATAGAATCACTACGTCCTGCATTGGAAGTTCGAGTAGTATAAAAACTTAAACGCCACTTCGTAGGTATTGGTAATTTTGTCGAGTATATTAGTGATTCGGCATTCACTGCGTTGAATAGGCGTCTGGTTTTTAACCTAGATACTACAACTGTCACACAGATGAGAATACAAAAACTAGCCACAGATATTCCACCCCCAATAGAAAATAATATTATATATACTGTCGGTTTGTTAGCCGATATCACTATTAGACCAACAATAAATATTATCGTTCCAATCAGTAGACATGAATAAGAAAACAAGAGAGCAAATTTTTCGCATGTAGTTAATTTGCGTGCACGATTGATATTGTCTATTGACTGGTAGAATTCATTTGGACCTATGATTCCCGTCAATTGTGAAGGAAAATCTGAATTAAACTGTCTGCTTCTACAAAATTCTATAAAACAAAGAGAGAAATACATATATTATACCGTATATGAAATAGAATATGTGACATTTACTTCTGCTTTCGCGTATGGTAACGCTACTTTCAGGAATAAATGATCCAAGCATTTTTCGTCTAAAATACAAATATACCAGCATATATCTAATATATGTTAAATCCTTTCGTTAGAATCTGTTGGATGATAGAAATTTAGAATGGAAGAGATATTAAGTAGAGTAAAGTCATCTGGTTTAGATTTCAATTATCCTTGAATCGAAGATTCGAACATATTATTTGTACGAATAAGAAGATGTTAGAATTCTATTTTCATAGTACTATGAATACATACTGAAAAGTCAATAGTTTTCAAATCTATAAAACAAATTTTCAATACTATACTTACTAGATTTGTCGCAATATTCTCTCTTGACTATATAGGTAAGTAAATATAAATTGAAAAAATAATTATGAAATATTTCGATTTATTTATATATATGTCGTTGTTTCGAATGTTATTTCCAACTACTTTAATGTACTTTTATATAAAAAACGGAAGAGCATTGTATGCTTGAATGATTACATGATTTAATGATCGTTAAATACGTGTTCCTTTTACTTCCTTTTTTTTTCTTAATTGTGTATCTATGATTTGAAAGAATCATGACACAAACTATAACTCATATTGATTTTCAATAGTTTATCATTTACCTGTAAATAAAACGATGCAATAGAAAAGAGCAATTACCATTAAAATAAGGTAACTATTTTCGATCGGAAGTAAGTTAGATAGTCATGAAAAATATTTTCGTAACTCCCCGATTTATAATATGCATGAGAGGATATTTGTTTTGTTTATATTATGATTGAGTATAGTTTGACAGTTATAGGACAATAAATTTTGTTTTTCTATACTTTGATGATTTCATATATACAGAATATCCTATAAATGACATCACGATAAAAACCTTGTCAATATCTACTTGTGTCTGTTCATGATGATTTTTATTTGATTAAACAATATATCAATCGGGATATATTCCTCTCTAAATTCAAAAAAGAATTAATAATAGAAAACTAACTTTTACAATCGAATGTAAACGATATTTTCGACATCCGTACAAAGATTGAAAATTTCTGTTGAAATCAATAGTAATAAATGACAGTTACATTTTTGTTTTTTTTATCACAATCGATCATAATAAACTATATGAAAAGATGTCAAATTATAAGCTAACAGTGTTATAATGGCTATATTTTAATGACATCGTCTTTCGTGTGTACGCATATCGTTAATCTTTGTTAGAATCTTGTTGAGTCAAGAGAAAAAACCAATCCTATTTTCAGTTAATTCATTAAGAAAAAAAAATATTTCTGATATCAATAAAAATAGAAGATCGTATATCACATACTGCTTTCATTTATATCGACGGTTGGTTTTGAACATCTTGGATATTTTTCATTTTCTATAATATAAAATCTGAGAATCTCTTCTTCAAAGAAATTACCAGTTCAATTTAATATTTTTCTATAAATGACATTCATAAACCTGAAGTCTTTGTCACGGTTTGAAAAATTTCAACAGTTGTTAGTTTAAGATAAAATAGATTAGAGTTTATAGCGGTGGTGTAATTTATCAAATACTATATTATGGGCAGACGAAACAAAATACTAATGGGTTGTTATTTTTTTTCAAATAATACATCAGATTCTTGGGTGTGGGTATGGGTTGGGTGAGATAAAGAAGAGACACTCGTATTCTCATCCACACACAAACCTTCAAGTCATATTCGTCAATATTGGCATATAATCTTTGATAATCCTTTGTATTTTCATGTACTTCAGTATTTTATTAATTGTGTGTACCCACATATAGAATTTAGAGTCGAATAATGTCATCTCTAGCAACTATACACACACGAATACAGTTAACTGTGTGAAGTACTCACACAAATGTACACGACCACATTATCGTATGTTTATATGCATTTTCTTCTCAAAATAAAGGTTGGCACGGTAAACAAAGTTTAATCAAAATAACAATCCATATCAGTTCACCTTTTTATCTACTGTCGACATTCTCCAATTATGTTCTTTATGATCAACAACCTTTTCATAGACGATAGAAAAATATCGACATTTGCCACTTTTCTTTGAATGTCAGAAAATGAGAATAAATAACAAGTCATTTTTCATTTCTTTAACTGTATTTCACTATGAGTCGTGCAATGCAGGGTGTTCTTCAACAATATTTGTTTCTCACGCTAATGTTCTTAAGCTTCAGTAGCTTTATATCTTCTGAATTCGATGTCAAATGTCAACTTACTGGAGAAAAGAATAATACATTTTGGATTGGCGGTATCATTTCTGGCACAGTCGAATATGCCCACAGTGAACATCCGAAGTGGAATATAACGAATATCAACGCTGAACTGACCGGTGAAGTTGAATACACATCGCGCTCTGTCAAAGGGAGAAGACACCGCGTCAGCTATACTTTCTCAGACAAACGATTCGTGTTACGATCAGCCAGTGATTCAAAAGATTTTCCTTCAACAACCCGTACCTACAGTTGGCCGTTTAGGTCTCGTCTTAGCAAATTCTTACCACCTACGATCGAACAGATTCATTCCGACGGCGTGAAACTTACGTACTACATTCTGCTGATATTTGAACGACCCGGCTGGTATAGAGCGAATATTCATAAACAATGCCACGTTAATATTAAACATTTGTCGTCGCTAGCGAATGCAAAGCAAATTGAAGAACAAAAAACAAATCGAAATGATGTTCATCTTCATGTTATTCTTCATAAAAACATAGTTGTTGTTGGAAAAAAGATCTCATTGGAGGTTAACCTGCGTAATCCAAAGAAAAAACTTATACGTCGCATAACTGCCACTCTATTCCAGATAATATCAAGAGGTTGCATCAGGAAAGAACGTGCCGTTCTAATTCAGCACGATCTCAGAGGAACTCGCTCATTTCGAGGTGAAACGTTTTATCAACAGTTGGACTTACCTGTACCTCTCAAAGCTGCATCCACAGGGGGTGGACATTTTTCTAACCGGTTTTTAAAGTGCAAACCATTGGCCGTGAGCCATATACTTCAACTCGAAGCTCATATTCGTGGTTTTTTCACCAATATTCGTTTGCAGCTTCCGCTAATCATTGGCTACGCAAACGAGACACAAAACTGATCAAATGCTGTTGTCACGAATGAATTCTATTTCCCTAGATTATATCTAAATCATTGTTTTTCCATGAAACCCTATTCAATAAATCAAAGTTAAATCTTGAGAGTGGATGTGGCTTTAGAGAAAGACACATCTATTCTGAGTATCATAGTGTTTTAAACGATATTTGATAGTATATCGCGTTCGATAAGCGAAATCTTTTCAGATCAATGTCACTTGAATTTTTTAATATGACCTCCGATTATAATTGTCATTGAAGAGAAAACAGAGGATGAAAATAAATGATTTATACGATTTCTAATAGAATCAGATTTAATATGATTTCTAATCAATGCTTCAAAGTAGATCAAATTTGACATTCTAGAAAGTAATCAGAAACTTATATTAGCAGTGAATAGATTTTATATGTGTGACATAAAATGATATGTGTCAGATAACGACGATACGAAGGTTTTAACTAGAGACCTGCGGGACAGTCCCGAATCCCGAAAAATCCCGAATGTCCCGTCCCGCGGGACAATCGGGACGTGTCCCGAAAACTTTCCGGGACACGCGGGACGGGACGGGACTATTCGAAAAACTTCGGGACGGGACATTCGGGATCGGGACAATATAAAAAAATCAGAAGTCCCGAATTTGTTTTTGATCGGTATACTAAGCTATGTCTTATACTTCGATTTTTGTCTATTTCTTATTAGAAATGTTGAATGAAACGTTGATTTACATTCAAAAGTCATGTAAATGCATGTATTTTAGCTTATTGGTGTTGCGGCGAAGATGTGTTGTTTTCTGTCACAGAGTGACATCTATATTTTTTTTGCCATCGGGACAAACGGGACGGGACGGAACTATTCGAAAAACTTCGGGACGGGACATTCGGGATCGGGACTATTCAAAAAAACTTCGGGACGGGACATTCGGGATCGGGACTATTCAAAATACACTTCGGGACGGGACATTCGGGACGGGACAATAAAAAAGTTTGTCCCGCAGGTCTCTAGTTTTAACATGAGTGAAGACTTGACTTTTAATCGGTCGATTTTCAACATATGAAAACATCTTGATTTCGTTAAATGCAATCATAAACAATTTGAAATGTGTGATCAATATCAAGATATTCGAACACCTTATAGATAAGTTCATCGATAATATTCTTAAGAGGGTGTGGGAGTGGGTATCAGAAGAGTGTAAGATCCATACCTTGATACATACACAAGAAGGATTATTCATCTTGTTTATATTATGATTGAGTATGGTATGACAATTATGGGACAATTAGATTTGTTTTTCTATATTTTGATGATTTTATATACACAGAATGTCTCACAGATAACATCGCGATAAAAACTTTGCACATTTCTACTTTGTTCTGTCCATGATGACTTTTATTTGATTGAAAAACTGTTTATTGAATTGTACACCTTGATTTCAAACACTACGAATTAACTTCTCGTGTAGCCATAATTTTTCAAGAAGTGCTGATGAAAATGGATCTCGTTGTTTTGAAGCGCTTCTTTTTGCTACGAATGTGGATGTGAATATTAACTTGTGCCATTTGACTTGATAAGATTTATCCACCAACATCGTGTTACCGTCTAATGCGGTAGCTATACTCATCATCACCCTGCTGCGATTATTCATAAATCTACAGAGCAACTGCACTGACACGATTGAATGACAACATCGATATATAATCTTTGATAATTCTTTGCATTTTCATGCACATCAGTATTTTATTAATTGCGAGTCTACACATCTAAAATTTGGAGTCGAATAATGCCATCTCTAGCAACTATACACACACGAATACAGTTAATTGTGTGAAGTACTCACACAAATGTACACGACCACATTATCGTATGTTTATATGCATTTTCTTCTCAAAATAAAGGTTGGCACGGTAAACAAAGTTTAATCAAAATAACACTCCATATCAGTTCACCTTTTTATCTACTGTCGACATTCTCCAATTATGTTCTTTATGATCAACAACCTTTTCATAGACGATAGAAAAATATCGACATTTGCCACTTTTCTTTGAATGTCAGAAAATGAGAATAAATAACAAGTCATTTTTCATTTCTTTAACTGTATTTCACTATGAGTCGTGCAATGCAGGGTGTTCTTCAACAATATTTGTTTCTCACGCTAATGTTCTTAAGCTCAAGTAGCTCTATGTTTTCTGCATTCGATGTCAAATGTCAATTTACTGGACAAAAGAATAATACATTTTGGATTGGCGGTATCATTTCTGGCACAGTCGAATATGCTCACAGTGAACATCCGAAGTGGAATATAACGAATGTCGAGGCTACATTGACCGGTGAAGTTGAACACAAAACGGGCTTTTTGGATAAGAAAAGACTTCGCAGGTATAGTTTCTTAGAGGAACGACTCATGCTACGATCAGCCGATGATTCAAAAGATCTTCTTCCAGCATCCCGCAACTACAGTTGGCCGTTTACTTTCCGTCTTAACAAATCCTTACCACTAACGATTGAAAAGATCCGTTCCAAAAGCCTAGCAGTTATGTACAACATTGATTTGACATTTGAACGGCCCGGCTGGTATAAAATGAACATTCGTAAACAATGCCACGTTAATATTCAACATTTGTCGTCGCTGGCGAATGCAAAGAAAATTGAAGAACAAAAAACAAATCGAAATGATGTTCATCTTCATGTTATTCTTCATAAAAACATAGTCGTTGTTCGAAAAAAGATCTCATTGGAAGTTAACATACGCAATCCGCAGAAAAAACTCATAAATCGCATAACTGCCACTCTATTCCAGATAGTTTCGGCAGGTTGTATCTCAAAAGAACGTGCCGTTCTACATAAGGAGGATCTCAAAGGAATCCACTTCTTTCGAGGCGAAAAATTACACCAACAGTTCAAGTTACCTGTACCTCTCAAAGCTGCATCCTCATGGACCTCATATTGTTCTTCCGGGTGTCTTAAAGGGAAACCATTTGTTGTGAGCCATAAACTTCAAGTCGAAGCTCATATTGGCGGTTTTTTCACCAATATTCGTTTGGAGTTTCCGCTAACCATTATCTACACAAACGAAACACAAAACTGATCAAATGCTGTTGTCACGAATGAGTTCTATTTTCCTCGATTATATCTAAAGCATTGTGTTTCCATGAATTTCTACTTAAAAAATAAAAGTCAAATCTTGAGAGTGGGTATGGCTTTAGAGAAAGACATAGTTACTTCGAGTATCGTACTATTTTAAACGATATTTAATAATATATCTGTGTATATAAAAGAAATCTTTTCAGATCAATGTCACTTGAATGTTCAATACGACCGTTGTTTATAATTGCCAATGAAGATACAACAGAGGATGAAAATAAATGATTCATAATCAATGTTTCCAGTTAGATCAAATTTGACATTCTTGAAAGTAAAAGATAAACGTATATTAACAGTGAACAGATTTGATAGGTGAAATGGTTTAATGTATTTTGTGTCGAAAACATTTTGATTTAGTTAATTGCAATCATAAACAATTCTAAATGTGTGATGAATATCAAGAAATTGAGATACTTTATAGATAAGCTCATTGATAGTATTCTGAAAAGGATGTGGGTACAGGTATCAGAAGAGTGTAAGACCCATACCCGATAAACTTTGTTTTTCTATATTTTGATGATTTTATGTAAACAGAATATCCCATAAATAAAATCACAATAAAAACTTTGTAAATTTATACTTTGTTTTGTCCATGATGACTATTATTTGATTAAAAAATAAATCGGTTGAAATATATTCTTCTATAAATTGTAATAGAATTAGAGTAATCGAAAAGAATTAATAATAGAAATCTAACTTCTAAAATCGAAGGCATACGATATTTTCGGCACGCGCACAATGATTGACAATTTCTGTTGAAATCAATAGTGATAAATGAAAGTGACGTTTTTCTTTTTTTTATCACAATCGATCATAATAAAACTATATGAAAAGATGTCAAATTATAAACTATCAATGCTATCATAGCTGTATTTTAATAACATTCTCTTTCCCGTGTATATCGTTAATTTTTGTTAGAATCATGTTGAATCAAGAGAATGAAGCAATCTTATTTTGAATGAATTTATTAAGACAAAAATATATTTCTAATATGAATAAAAATACAAGATTGTATAACAAATACTGCTTTTGTTTATATTGACGACTGATTTCGAACATCTTGGATATTTCTCATTTTCTATAATATAAAATTTAAAAATCTCTTCTTCGAAGAAGTTATTAGTTCAATTTAATATTTCTCTATAAATGATATTCATGAACCTAAAGACTATCTCGATTTGAAAAATTTCAGCAGTTGTTAGTCTAAGATAAAATAGATTAGAGTTTATAGCGGTAGTGTGATTTATCAAACACTATATTACAGATAGACAAAACAAAATACTAATGGATTGTTATTTTTGTCAAATAATATTAATGAAAGTAAAAAAACATAAGATTCTTGGATGTGGCTATACTGTGCATGAGATAAAGAAGACACATTCACATCATCAAGTCATATTCGTGAACATTGCTATATAATCTTCGATAATCCTTTGCGTTTTCATATACTCCAGTATTTTATTAGTTGTGAGTCTACACATATAGAATTTAGAATTGAATAATCTCATCTCTAGCTACTATACACATAAACTATCGTGTGTTTACACGCCTTTTTTTCAAAATAAACTTTGACTATGCAAATGAAATTGAATGAAAATGGCAACCGAAATTAGTTCACATTTTTGTGTGTTCTTTATCTTTCGCAACCTTTTGGTAGTTGATAGAAAAATATTGGCATTTGCCACTTTTCTTTTAATGTCAGTAAGTGAGAATAAATAACAAGTCACTTTTGATTTCTTTATTTGTATTTCACTATGAGTCGTGCAATGCAGAGTGTTATTCAACAATATTTGTTTCTTACATCGATGTTTTTAAGCTCAAATAGCTTTTATTTTCCCACATTCGATGCCAAATGTAAATTTGCTGGACAACAGCATACCACATTTTGGGCTGGTGGTACCGTTGCTGGCACGGTCGAATATACTGATAGTGAACATACGGAATGGAATATAACGCATATCGGCGCTGAACTGCACGGTCGCATTGAATTCAAAACGAACGTTTGGGAGAAGAAAAGACGTCGCGGCTATACTTTCTCAGACAAACGATTCATATTCCGGTCAGCCATTGATTCAAAAGATTTTCTTTCAACAACCGGTAACTACAGTTGGCCGTTTACGTTTCGTCTTAGCAAATTCTTACCACCTACGATCAAACAGACTCATTCCAAAAGCGCAGAACTTATGTACTTCATTTTGTTGACATTTGAACGGCCCAGCTGGTATAGAGCTAACATTCGTAAACAGTGCTATATTGATATTCAACATTTGTCGTCGTTCACGAATGCAAAAAAAGTTGAAGAACAAAAAACAAATCGAAAAGGTGTTCATCTTCATGTTATTCTTCATAAAAACATAGTCGCTGTTGGAAAAAACATTTCATTGGAAGTTAACTTGCGTAATCCAAAGAAAAAACTCATACGTCGCATAATCGCCACTCTGTTCCAGATAGTATCAGGAGGTTGCATCACAAAAGAACGTGCCGTTCTAAATCAGCAGAATCTCAAAGGAATTGACTCATTTCGAGGTGAAACGTTTCATCAACAGTTGGAATTACCTGTATCTCTCAAAGCTGCATCTACATGGGCTGCAGATTCTTCTAATGGATTTTTAAAATGCAAACCACTGGTCGTGAGTCATAAACTTCAAGTCGAAGCCGACATTCGTGGTTTCTACACCAATATTCGCCTGGAACTTCCGATAACCATTATCTACACGAATGAAACACAAAACTGACCAAATACTATCGTCACGAATGAGGGGTGGGTGTGGCTTCAAGAAAAGACACAGTTACTGTGTGTATCGTAGTGCTTTAAATGATGTTTGATAATATTTTAGTATAGATAAGAGAAATATTTTTAGATCAATATCACTTGAATTATGAATACGATCACTGCCTATAATTATCAATGAAGATAAATGATTTATAATCACACACGAAGGAATATTCATTTTGTTTATATTATGATTGAGTATAGTTTGCCAGTTATGGGACAATTAGATTTGTTTTTCTATATTTCAAATGATGACTTTTATTTGACTAAAAAATAAATCGGGTGGAAAATATTCCTCGATAAATTGAAAAAGAATTAATAATACAAAAGTAACTTTTACAATCGAATGCACATGATATTTTCCAATGGGTAGATATTAAATTTATTCTAAACTCACATCCATCTCGATCATTTACCGTTTATCGATGGTAAGGATAAGTAATGTCATTATTTTGATGGATTTGAACTTGTATAAAATACATATGAGATAAAAATCAAATAAATCTTACTTTTCATTGTTTCTTAATTAAAAGATCTTCAGCTCAACACTGTCTTACTTTATTTTCTTGTTAAAAAACAAACTATTCAGTAAAGACAATCTATGGGTGGGTGCGAATGAGACATGAGTCAAACAAGCACACTAATAATAAAAATCTTCAAAGTTTTTATTTATCAGTAAGTTTTATATTGTTCATATGTTATTTAGATTTGAGCCAATATTGTAATAAATTAACTTCGATGGCACCTAAAATCAATTGTTCAACATGATAAAGAATCAATGGTAGAGAAAATAATCCAGCAAGACCTTGATTATTAGCTGAATTAACAGCACTTATCAATGGAACACCTTTCGCGACTGTTTTCGTTGCTGCACAAAACATAATAGCTATAGTATCTTCTCGAGAAAATCGCCAACGTTCAATTAATGTCTTTTGTTTGTCTTCCGATTCTAATAACAATGGTTGTTTATCACTACTAATTGTACGTTGTCCACAAATGAAAATATTAGGTAATCTAGCAAAAAACATTGCTAATAATGAAAATGTTATGTAGAATGTTGCGTTAAGAGCTATGACAATGATAAGATCCCTTGTTTTGATTTGATTCAATAATCCACTTTGAAATAAATCACAAAAAATTGACCAAAGTAGAATTAATAATGCCAGACTATTTAATTCAGGAAAATGAAATTTTGTTTTTGCCCATAATATTTTTTCTGTCCAAATAGTATAGATTATTTGACCGATGATAAGAGGAACTATCACTGTTAAACCTAAATTGAACAATACGTGTAAATAATCATGGATATTATATTCATGTTGTAAAATATTTAAATTAGAATTTAACATAAACAACCAGATAAGAGCTGGCGATACGAATACACCCAGGATATTGCCTAATATTGCATTTACCAATGCCGCTGGTTCGTTGCCACCCGCATTTTTTGTCATGATGACCTATAATGAAAAGAAAAAGTGGTAACTCGAAGAAAATGAGGGAAGGCAATTTACATTGCTTGAGATAGTTGTAGTAGTACAAGCCATCATTATAATACCACCGATTAATATTTTATTAAATGATAATTTAATGAGTAATAAACAAACTACAAAGACAACCAATGGAATAAAAACAAGATTAAATACTTGTGTAAATATATGTAAACGAAAATGAAATATTTCAGTAGCTATTTCGTTTGTCTGTAAGGATAGACCACTAAGAAAAAAAATTATTATAACACATCCCCATTTAAGTGAATATTCGTTATGAAGTATTCCACCTGATGCACCTAAATAAGGAAACAAGGCAGCGAAAATCAAAGCAATTGCTAAACCAAAAATAAACCAAAATTTTTTAAGTAATTTAGTTAATGTATTTAAACAATATCTATTTGTTGGTTTTGTATAGATACATTTTAATTGTTCATTAGCATCATTTGATTTAGAAAATAGATAAATAGAATCTATTTGTGAATAGCTTTTCAGATGATTGAGTTGATCAGATGATAAATTTCCAGAAATAATTATCACAAATTTTTCATTATTCGTATGTTTCACAATAAAATCTTCGATATCGTTAATATTTTTAAATATTTGGTTTATTACCATCAAATTTTCATCACCTGATAATTCGTTTAGTAAATCAAGACCAATGATTATATATGGTGGTTGAGAATATTTGGATAAAATACTTAAATTCATGTTTATCTACAAATAAAGTTCAGATATGAATATATAAACTTGAAAAACAATTAGTATACAAAAATATTTATTTTTTACATTATTACTTCCAGCTGTGAAAATATATGTGTGTCATTCATCTAGTAATAGTTATTATTTTTGAAGATCAGAAGTATTGTGAACTGATAATGGAGAAAAAATAGTAGATATGCAGTTCGATTCAACTATACTCTAATGTTTTACCGACGTCCAGTTGAAGTCTTCATTCGTAAACTCGTTTGAATAAGCTACAGTATGATATTATTTTAGATATCAACTCATCAAAATCATATACAAAATATAATGGCGTTACCTGCTCCATGTATAACTTTTTTTACATAAACGAAAGAATAAAAATCAATCAAGCATGAATATGTAACAAAAAGAAGAGCTAGTATCGTTTATAATATTCTCATATCTACCGATACATTATATGATCGAAAACCACGTGTTAGCAAATAAAATTTGTTTTTCTCGTTCGGTAAAATATTGAAGTGCTGAAAGTGTGGATATTATAAAATGGAAACATATTTTTCATTTTCTTATATGCCACTTTGATCGAATTCCTTTATTGTTGGAATAATATATCAAATTTGTCTAGTAAAAACGTTGTTGTTTGATATTTTGGTTTATTTTCGTTGTCTACCGATGTAAGTAAGGATAAAAATACGTAATGAGATATGTAAATACAACTGTCTTTTGTAATTTCTGTCTTAACTTGTATATTATCACTATATTTCTATAAGTTTAGGAAAAGCTTTGCTAAACATAAAATAAAATATTTTTTATATCTGATTTAAATAATAATGATTCAAAGATTTTTATTTGATTAGACATTTTCGAAATATATGTCTGTCTTGAAGTGCAATAAAAACAACATAAGAACAAAAATTGAATTAATCTGTATTTATTTCCATTGAAAAAAAATATTCTTTTCTCTTTTCGCCGATAATATCTTGTAGAATTTACATCGATCATCATGAATAACGATTTTTCAAATTAAAAAAAATCAATTACTCTACATGACATGCTATACCTGAAATTGTAATATGATATCTGTCTTATAACGGTGACAGAGTAAGTATCTGTATATAAAAAATACTTCTTTTTTCATATTATTGTGCGTAAATTACAAAAAGGTTCGTGAAAATGAAACAAACAATATTATTGATAACGTTGATTTTATGTATAAATCTATGTCTAAGTCAAAAAGGTTTTCCAAAACAATTTCAAACAACGTTAAATATAAGTGGTGTACAATCATGGCAAACACCAATACTAGATGTTCAAAACTTATTATATGATTAAATATAAACCTGAAGGTGCTGAATCAAATTCAGTAAGTATAGAAAAAAATAATTTAATATGAAAAGAAGAAGATTTTATTTTTTTTAGCCAGCTTCACAAGGTTATGCATTATTTAATTTCAATCCTGATTACCCAGAATTAACCAAAGTAAAGTAAAACAATAATCTGTTCAACATTTTTCTCTTTTGATTTTTGAAGAATGATTGTTGGTACAGAACTAGACATGTGCGGGACCAAGATTTTTTGGTTCCGGTCCCGGTCCCGATCCAGTCCGGGTAGATTTTTTCCAATTGGTCTCGGTTTCGGTTTCGATACTAGGTGCTTTTCTTGGTGATCCCGGTCCAATATCAATAGTTTTTCTTCACTAGTCCTGGTATCGGTAGTTTTTCTATTGGTCCCGGTCTGGATCCCGGTCCAAATAGATTCTATTTCAGCTCTCACAATTCTATAATTGATAAATCTAGGGTAATTTCATTTGTAAAGCCAAGTGATTTATCTTTTTCTGTTTGTAAACGACATCTGGTGGGTAGTCGAAAAATAATTCTCTTATCTATTTCTTCCAATCTTATGCGCCCAACGAAGGACTAATTTTATTTAATACTTTCGATCCACTGAATATATTAATAATGATTCATACAAAACGTGTCTTTGTATATTTCATATCTTATCGATGTCTGCTTCAACAATAAAAAAATCTTCACTAGATCGGAAATAGAAAATCTTGTTTTAAAAAAGATCGATCTTTGTCTTTCGTGAAACCTTCTTGTGCAAAAAGCACAGACTGGGATACATTTCATGAAGTTTTGGTCAATGATGCTCGTCAAGGATTAATTATTGACAATGATTGTCAATCAGTATTATCAAGGACTTTATCTTAGTAAAGAGAATAAAATTTTATATTTGATTAATACGATTCTTAAAACTGGCTACTTCTAATATCATTGATAAATATTTCACTCTTTGAAAATATACTAATACCACTTGAATATTAAGCTTATCACATGATCACCTATCCGTATTTAATTACACTTTTATTATATTTTTCGCGGAATAAAATCAGAACGATTAGAAGAAATGAAAGGAATATTAAATTTCCAACTATTGATATGCGAATAGGTGCATCTATTGTATTTCGATTATATTGACTTAAGATATTATCTGTGTTTTAGAAATAAAAACACACATTTTTTCATTATATTCTTTTATTTTAAAATCAGCTATGGCTACAATCAATATCTACTGCTACGTCGTTTTCACTATACTCAGGTAACTAATTATTGATTTTTATCACTAATTTTGTTAATATTCATCGATTTCATACTTTAGCATAACAGGTTTGATCTCTATTGTATTTTATATGTTTATATGTATTAGTTCATCACTTTATCGTTCCAGTAAAATCCCAAATATGTAGGAAAACACCTCAATATGGGGAATGTTCAACAAATAGTGCATGTGGATGCTTTCATGTAATAGGTGCTAGCAATGATACAGGCATTTGTGGTTTTCGCTGGTTAGCATGTTCTCATCTTGTACTGTGTAATTCATCAGACTATTCATGTACTCAACCTAATACGACGTGTGTTCAACATCCACAATGTAATAATCTCCCTGTTTGTTATCCAGTTACAATGACTGATCAAAGTATCTGTCCACCAATGAAAAGTGAGTGAATCAACGAATGATAGATGCAACATTCTTATACACATTCGCAAGATATTTGAAACTATAAATTTCATCTGTTTTAGATAAGATCCATCTTAAATGGGAACAAAATGCCATTACTGTGGCTGGTGGAAATGGACTTGGACAGGAATTAAATCAACTATATCACCCTTTTGGAATCTTTATTGATAGAAATAAAAATATTTTCATTGCTAATTCGACAAATCATCGTATTGTTGAATGGAAATATAATGCAAAAGAAGGACAAATCATTGCAGGTAGAAATGGGCAAGGAGATCGAGTGGATCAATTGAATGACCCAACAGATGTGATTGTTGATCAAAAAAATCAATCGATCATCATTGCTGATCGTTGGAACAGACGAGTGATTCAATGGTTGAATCAAACTCAACAGATTCTCATTGGCAACATTTACTGTTGGGGCTTGGCAATGGATAAACATGGATTTCTTTATGTTTCTGATGGTGAGAAGAATGAAGTGAGACGATGGAAAATGGGAGAATATAACAATGAAGGAGTTGTAGTGGCAGGTGGAAATGAAAAAGGAAATCAACTTAATCAATTCAATGATCCTCGTTTTATCTTTGTTGATGAAAATCAATCTGTTTATGTATCAGATAAAGACAATCACCGTGTGATGAAATGGATAAAAGATGCAAAAGAAGGGACAATTGTGGCTGGAGGAAATGGTCAAGGAGAAAATCTCAATCAATTGTATTATCCTCAAGGAGTAATTCTCGATGATATGGGTCAAATCTATGTAGTGGATTATTGGAATGATCGAGTAATGCGTTGGTATGAAGGAAAAAAAGAAGGTGAAATTATTGTTGGTGGAAATGGTAAAGGAAATCAATCAAATCAATTGAATGGCTCCCGTGGTTTATCATTTGATGATGAAAGAAATCTTTATGTTGCTGACCATTTAAATCATCGAATTCAAAAATTCAAAGTAATTTTGTGAATGAAATTTTCATTCTGAAAACAAAAAATGAAATTTTTTATTGAATAAATAATCGAAATATGAAAGGAAAAATAAAATTTTGCTATTGAAAAAAAAACCAATTAAAATTTGAAGAACAAGACATATTTTGACAAAACAACGAAGAAAAACCCTTTTGGTTTCTTTTTTAAAAATTTAATTTAATTTGATAATTTTGATTAAGAAATTCAAATAAATGTTGAATTCTTCATCTTTTATTAATTTTTGTCGAATTTCATAGGGGAAAAGAAAAGAAAATACATTGTAATTTGAATTGAATTAAAATAAAAATTATTCAAAAAGGAAATTGAAGGTGTAGGTGTGGGTGTGGGTGAGTGTAATAGTGTCCTGCGGGAACGACTTTATTTGCTTCCCATTCCGTATTCCCATTTCCTTAATTTTTTCTTACTTCCCATTCCCTTATTTTTTTCCTAACTTCCCATTCCCTATTTCCATTCCCTTAGTTCCCTGAATTTTCAAAGGCTCTCTTCATCTGCAAGAAAAGGGTCATTACCATATATGTGTACCAGTTGCTGTTGACATCACTTCTGCGCATCGTAACGTGTTATTAAAGAAATCAAAAGTACGTTACGATTCGAGGAATATTTTACTGAATACTCTACTGATGCTTGCTTTTTTAATAACATATAAAATATGATTTATACGTCGGAACTTATCATTGTTGAAAGAATTATTTCCACATCTATTTAATAAATAAAAAAACGAAAAAATAGTAATACATCAACTACGGCGATGAAGAAACGGAAGTATGAAACAGAGGATGATGATAACGATTTATCACAACAACATGATAGTAATGAAGTGTTACGACAAAATGATCTTGATAATGTTATCTTGAACGACGATGATGAAAAAGAAAATTTTATTAGTGAAGATTAAATGATGATGTAGTTAAGAATAAAGCAACAGTCTATGTTTGCTGATACACATTTTGTTAATTTTTTGTTAATTATATATGAATAAGAAAACTTATTAAAAATAAATAGTTATTATATAGAAATATTTTTATGTATTGAAAAAAGATAGTCACAGTTTAGGGAACGTGAGCTTTTAGCTCCGTTCCCATTCCCACGTTCCCATTCCCTAAATGTAAATGGGAATGGGAAAAACAAGGAAAAATGTCATTCCCGCAGGACACTAGAGTGTAAGTGGGGGCGTTGGTGGGTGGATGGGTGTAAATCTATTTAACTCGTATCTACACTCACACCCACACCCACCCTGGTTTGAACAGCCGTCGTGGTGCCTTTTTATTTTGTTTTATTTATATAGATAACATAGAAAAACCCTCCGTTCATATCTCTCTTGAATTCCACATGTACTGAAAAAGTTCGATTAGTTTGTAATAGACAGTTGTGTCTCATTGGCGGCTGAGAGACTTATGACATTTGTCGTGCCAGTCCATTCTGATATATCAATAGTGGATATTTCTTTAAGACTGTTGATCATCGTCGTGGTGGATTCAATCGCTCGAGTGCAAACATCTCGATTGATTCGACGTTGTCGTTCACTCTCCAGACACAACTGAATATCTTGCAGATGCTGAGACACGGCAATAGCTTTTTCTTCGGCATCTGTCATATAACCGATAAAATACGTATTCGCTGCGTTGAGCTGAACGAGACTTTCGAATATCTTTCCCAAGTACATCAATGCATTGTGCTGATGTCTAGCCCATAATGTTTTCACTAGAGTTACAACAGTGGCAGCCCCAATTCCACCTAATGCAGATGCACTAATGATCGCAGCTACTGGAGGAGAAGCTGTTCCGGCCACTATTAACGCCCCAAAACCACGCCTTGCTTCCGATACAAGCAAACCTCCAGCTGCAAGTGCTCCTGAGACAGCACCTGCTGGTTTAGCATTTTTGAAACAGAATTCAGCTATATCTAGTCGTCCTTGGACAACGAATTTCCTCGATTGAACTGAATTGGTCATTGTGTGTATTCGTTCGTCCAATTTTTGACTTTCAGCTTTGGATGATTTAGCTAATTCGAGTAGGTTCTCAATTCCGTTCGACATTCGATCTAGTGCAAGTTTAATATCGTTTTTATCCGTTTCGTTTAGTATTTGACTCGGATCAGTGTTCATTACGTCTTCAACAACAGACAGTTGCTTTCTCGCAGCTGAGAGCAAAGGAAGTATCATGTTTACATTATGTTTGACTTGCATAACCATTCGGATAAAACAATGAATCAGATCACGAAGTTCATTAGCTATATCACTGTACTGTTGAACTTCTTTTATCATACTTTCCAAGAGTGTTTTTATGCTTTCGACCAATTCGGGAACTTTATTTAGTTTAGCCGCTAACGGTAACGAAGAAAAATTCGTTGCAATGGATAGAAATGTTCGAAAACGTTGCGTTTCTCCGTCATCAGCATCAGCATTCATTGGCATCTGTAATGATGTTTCAGCCACTTCAGCTGCATTAAATTTTTCCCAACTATCCTGCCGTAAAAGATCTTCACTGAAGCCTTCAACGTAATCGTTAATTGCATCCGTTTGCATTTGTTGTCTCTGCATTCGTTCCTGGAGACATTCTGCGTCAATACCAAGCATTGCTTGAAAACTGTTCTTTGTGAGAAAAGAATCAAACAAAAATTAAGTAATGGGCAAGACTTTTGCGTCGTATGTTTTATATATTAGCGAACTTAGTGAGAAGTAAAACTAACACAAGACACGTCTTATTTAGTAGGCGAATGTTATCTTTCTAAACAATGATACGTAAAAATCCAAACACAAATCAAACGAATTGAAGAGAAAAAAGATAAGAGAAAGATTCGAGATGCAGAAAACAACGACATCCATAATATCGCTACTCAGTCACAGAAACAACTAAGACATAAATATGCGTAAACATTTAATGGAGACAAAATCATAAAATCCGCACATAGAGGTAAATAGGATGGTGAGACGACCAAATAAGACGCGTTCGCATCACTGTAGGTGTGAGTGTGGATGTAGACAGTTATTTCAGTACTCACCCACATCCACCCTTTCCGTTTCTGTCGTTCTTTTCTTATCTGCTTTATTTTATAATAATAACTAAATTTCACAATTGATGGATGGGTGTAGGTTTGGATTAACATATCAGTACCTATACACATCCTGAGGATAATTTGAGTACTGTGACTATAACTTCTGTTTTTGTTGGTGGTCTACTACTTTGACAAATCAAAATGAAGTTTCATTACGACAGATAGAACTTTTCAATGCGGCAATAAATTCAAATTCAAGCAAAAAAACGGTTTCCATTGGTGGATATAGTGCCGATAAATACAAAACCAAATTTATCAAAGTAATCCTGCTATTTCATTGTAGTCAAACAAAAAAAAAGTATTTTTTCTCTATTATACGTCAGTTGACAAGCATATTTGCTTCTTTTAAGACGATGCACAAGATAACAAATCTATCTTGAAAATGAAAGAGAGGGACTCTACACTTTTCGAGACGTTAATTATTCTCTTTGTAGACTTATTCAAGGTAAGCGTATATTTTTCATTAGAAATTTATTTTTAAATTATATTCAAATAGTAAAGGATGAAGAATATAACCAACGAAGTTTCTATTTGAATTGTATTAAAAATAGATTAAGTTCTTCACAATGTTTCTATCAATAAAAATAAAAAATTAATAGAGAAAACTTCTTTCCTATATATATTATAATATGCAGCATTTAGATCGTTACAATTTACATACTACATCTTTTTATTTTCAAAATATACAAAAGATAAAATAAAAAACTTCCCCTCACCGACACTCACCCTTTAAAAAAAATATTAAAATTAACTTTGTTTCGCTTTAGATAAAAATTACAAATGAGTTCATCACGATCAATTTTAATGAATAATAATATTGAAATTCCTCAATTAGCATTAGGTACCTATGATATAGGAGAAGAAGAAATATCGAATGTTATCGAAAGTGCACTTTCAGTTGGTTATCGTCATCTTGATTGTGCATGGCTTTATGGAAATGAAAAAGAAATTGGAGCGAGTTTATCTCAACAATTTCAAAAAGGAGAAATCAAACGATCAGATTTATTTATAACAAGTAAACTTTGGTGTTCATTTCATAAATTTGAACGTGTTCGTCAACAATGTGTTATAACAATCAATGATCTTCAATGTCAATATCTTGACCTTTTTCTTATTCATTGGCCATTTGCTTTTGTTGATCACGTCTGTTCTTTGTTTTTATTTTTCGAGAATTCATTTTTTCTCTGTTTAGGATCCACAAAATAATGAAGAACATCAATCAAATGTAGATGATGAAATTGATTTTATTGAAACATGGAAAGCAATGGAATTGTTAGTTGATGAAAGATTAGTTAAATCTATTGGATTATCGAATTTTAATGAAGAACAAATAGGACGAATTCTTCAAACATGCAAATATAAACCAGTTGTTAATCAAGTTGAAATTCATCCATATTGTCCTCAAATTGAATTAGAATATTTTTGTAAAAAACATCAAATTCTTCTTGAAGCCTATGCACCATTAGGTAAAATTTTTTATTTCATTAAATGTATCTCTTATTGAAAAAAAAAATTAAAATAGGTGCAAAAAATCGACAATGGAAAAAAGAAAATGATCCAGAAATTTTAGAAGATAAAACGATAAAATCAATTGCCGATAAATATAATGTTCCTCCAGCTGCAATTCTTCTTCGTTATATTATCGATCGAAATCTCGTATGTGTTGTTAAATCTGCTAATTATCAACGAATTGAACAAAATTTTCAATGTATTAATCAAAATCATTTTCAATTAGATGAAGAAGATTTTAATAAAATTCATAATGATATTCAAATTAGATTTCGCTATCATCAAGTGGAGGACAAAAAATATGCAAAAGAATATCCATTCAAACAGTGGAAAGACTTTATTCCATAATAACATTCACATTCATTGCAAGATTTTTTGAAAATAAAGAATCTTTAGTTAGAGAAATTATGTTTATGTAAACTCACTTTATGTAATTTTTAACGCAAAAGAAGAATATTCTAAAAAGACGTACGAATTTATTACTTCGTTTAGATATGTGATATTATACCAGTTTTTATTGCCTACCATGTGGTGCTTTTGTAATGTATGTACGATGAAATTTTTTTAATAATATAAATATAATGAGAAAGAAAAGAATAAACGCGTAGTAGAACCTCACATTAATATATGCCAATATCCTGTCTCAATTTGTAACTTTATATGATAAACAACAGCATTTTTGAGTATATAGATCGAACTCTTCTACACTGACACTCCTCCGTTGCCTTGAATTTAAACAATTTCGATAAATTAAAAGTTCTGTTTTATTAGAATATTGAAAAAGGCAATTAAAAATAAAATAAGTTTATGTTTGTTAGATTAAATAAGATAGTTCATATCTTTTATCTTCGATATGCTACTGGTTGTTGAACACGTACGGGATGACGACCATGTGTTACACCTAGAATTGTATAAAAAAGATAAATCATAGAAAATTAAAGTTTATTCAATACATACTTCTGCTCTTCAATTCACGAGCCTCTTGACAAACACCACATGGTCCACAACAAGCAGCGACAAGGCAATCATGACATGGGTCTGGTTTCAAAAGATACTTTTCACGTAGTACTTTTCGTTTTATCATATGTGGTACCCAACATAAAGAGCAGGCGCCTGTTATCCAATATGCAAGACAACAACCTACACAACTACTACCATCGATTTTTTGAGCATTTTGACCAAATAAACATGGTAGACAGCAGAATCCACAACAACATGTCTTAATATCACTAAAACAGCCGAATAATGATTCTAAAACATAGATAGATAGAAATTAAAAAAAACGAATAACTAGTCATAGAAGAATTTACAAAACTGACCATTCCATGGTCTCCAAACACGTGCACGTGCTTCATCAACTGCAGTATCAACAACTTCTGGATTTTTGTCCATATTAATGAATAACGGTGTTGTATTTATAAACTTAGTTTCTTACGTTACCGGTTTAATAAATCCTTTGTTTCAACGTAAATCAAACTATTCTTTAATGGCCTCTCTACGTTCTTTTCCACCTCTTTTTATATGCATCGACTGTTCTTCACCATACACAAGGTCTGAACTAAAAAAAATATACGAAGGATAGCTAAACGAGGGTTATGAAGGATAATATATAAATGAAATATATGAAGGATAAATAAACGAGATATATGAAGGTTAGATGAACGAAATATATAGAACATGACATTACACATATTATATTTAACGGATAAGAACAAAAAAAAAAGAGAATACGTTATTTTATAAACCAGAGACCAACATTAATATCAGGTCACCCACCAAATCAATTCACGGATACTACTGAGCGTCTCTACAATGAACAGAGTGCGAGTGTGAGTATTAAACGAAAGAGGTTTCCTGCGTATTATAATAAATCTTGAATATGATGGCAAAACAAAACAAACAACTATAAATCATAGATTGCAACATAGTGCATTCGAAACTGGATAATTTAATTCCGATTGGATAACTATACATATTTGAATAAAAAACATACGGGATTTTGTAGGATATCTGAAATTGCGAGGAATACATTGTTAATATGCATAAATGATTCTTTAGATTATTGATATATTGAATCGTTCACCATCACATATCGATGACAATTATTCTATAAAAATTTTAATTTTTTATATACTGAAAAGTAATTTGTGAGCAAAAATCAATTTAAATTACTAGTCTTTATCTCAACAACGACATCTTAATTAATTTGAATTTCAATCCTTCATGCGTCGCAGTCTTAACGTTGTGATTAACGAGTATGATAAGACCAGTCTAGAGTGTGAAGCTACAATTATGAATGAAATAAAACATTCACTCTCACACTTGCATTATATCTTCTTGTTTCGTCATAAGTTATAAAATATTCTTCAATATATTTATTTATTATACTAACTTAACCATCCCATGATTTATTTTTTTTGTTTGACGCTATTGAATAAAATTCACTTTGTATCTAAATAATAATTTATATGAATAAAACACATAACATCTCTCTTAATACTATTGATGATGTCATAATCAAAATGAGATGTTATTAAAAGTTAGAAGATTAAATAGAACAATTTTAATATTCAGTGAATTCAGTATTAATGCCTTTTTCCTTTCGAAATCATTTTTTTTAGTTCATAAATTGAATTATCAAGTTCCAATGTTTTCTTAGTAGAAGCAATAATCGAATATCTGTCAATAAACTGATTCACATGTATTTTTATATTCATAATTTTTTCGAATCATTTTGTTAACTAATATAGATTTCATTCTTATTCATCTTGATTGTTTTCTTTTATTAAAAGAAGTTTTATTAATTTATTTTCAAAAGTAAAAATTGAAATTTTATTAAATTAAATTTAAAATTTTTTCATATTTTTATATTCGATGATTATTATAATCAACAACATAAAGATTTTCTTCATTATCAAATAATAAACTTGTGGGTAAACTCAATTGATTTGATTGCATTCCTCTTCCATTTCCACCAACAACAATTTCACCTTCTTTATCTCCTTCACACCAACGCATTATTCGATTATTATTACGATCTGCTACATAAATTTGATCCAAATGATTAACAATCACTCCTCGAGGAAAAGACAATTGCTTGAGACTATTTCCATAACCTTTTCCACCAGCAACAATAATTCCTTCTTTTGCATCTTTTTTCCATTTCATTACACGATGATTGTGACCATCTGATATATAAAGAGAATAATCTTCATCAATACATAGATTAGTTGGATAATTTAGTTGATTAAGTCGATTTCCTTTCCCATGTCCACCTGCAACTAATTCACCATTTTCATCTCCTTGTTTCCATCGTCTTACTTCATGATTCATCCAATCAGAAACATAAATATAACCATTTTTATCGATTGCCAAACCAAAACAATAAATATTTGAAATAATAATTTGTTGATTTGTTTGATTTTGATCAAAATATCGAATTACTTGTTTGTTTTCAAAATCAGAAATAATAAAAGAATTATTTTCTTTCTCAAAAATTATATCTCTTGGAAGATTCAATTGATTATTTTCATTTCCATTTCTATCTGCTTCAATGATTTGACCAGTATTTGAATTTAATTTCCATCTAACAATATGATCATTCGAATAATCAACAATATAAAGTGATTTATCATTATCAAAAAAGATGCCTTGAGGATCAGAGATTTGATTTGATTTCTGTCCATCTTCATTTCCTTTAGCAACAGTAATTGCAAATTGTTGAAATTTAGTTTTTCTTATCTGAATTTCTCCTAAAAATAATAGATTTTCCTTTTATTCAAATGTTTTCTCATTATTTTTAAATAACAAGAACAACTTGTATATGAATTTGTTTTAACTAGAGTCCTGCAAACCGGACGGGTACCCGACACCCGGCCCGACCCGGACCTGGGTACCGGGTAAAATTCGCCGGGTCGGTTCGGGCATCGGGTGTGGGCTTGTGTGTGTGTGGATGTGAGATAAGAGCAAGATCCACATCTTCAGCTAGCTCCTGATTCACTTGTTTTTTTACGTAATTTTACATAATATATATTTTTATTTGTTAATTATGAATAGGGGTAGGACAGTTCCATATGAGTTACGTTCTTAAGAACTGTATCATAGTTCTTTTGACCAGTTCATCTGAACTTGGAACTATGAACTGTCCTACCTCTACTTATGAACGAAACTGAACATATTATATTTATTGAACGAAATAAAGGTTTAGAAATCTGATCATACTTTAGAAAATAACTGAGTAGACCGGTTCGGGCCCGGGTGTAAAAAAAATTGCCGGTTCGGTTTCGGGTACAAAAAAGTGCACCCGTGCAGGACTCTAGAATAAACATACCGAATGATGAAATAACTGAAATTTTCTTGATAAATTGTTGTGAATCTTGTCGAATAGAAATATTTGATGATTGAAGAAAGTCTTCTTTCATTTGTTTTAATTTTAATTGAAAATGATTTAAATCAATTTCATTAAATTCATTTTCTTGACGAATTTCTTTTAATTTCTGAGATAATTCAATAAACTTTCTCTCAGTATTATTGATCAATTTTTGTGTCAATTTCATCACTGTTTCTCGACATTCTTCTGCTGTTTGTTGAATCTGATGAATTGAATTTGTTTCCCATTGATTAATTTGTTGAATTAAAGAAGAATTGTCTAAGTTTTGTTTGTGTTGAATAATTATTTGTTGAAATTGATCGTGATCATTAATAATTTCATTTAATTGTCTACGAGGAATTGGTCGATGTTCTGTTAAACGTTGAAAATTAAAATCTTTTGAACATCCACGACAAATATATGTCGTATTTCCTTTATTGCAGATAGAACATTGTATTCTAGTGTTTGCTTCTGCCATTTGCTGATGAATTTGGAAAAGAAATAAATAGTCATTCACATTTTGCCTGTGTATTTATTTATACAAAACAAAATGAGTCAAGGTAGATGAATATCAATAGGTAGTAAGAGAACGAAGAAAATCATTGTGCAATAGATAAGAAATTGTGTAATGATGAAAATAATTTTATTATTCATTGGTATTCAATGAAAATTAAGTCTCTTTGAGGAAGATGAATTATAAGAATTTTATTAATGTTTTGTCTTTTATATGAATTGAGATACAAATAATATTGTAATTTTCATTGAATAACAAACAAAAAAATTTTTTTATGAAATTTTGAATAGATGTCATTATAATCTATTCAATTTTCTTAAGGATATTGATTAAATGTGTTTAAATAAACAATTGATTTTAGATCAATCGGGTTTAATTTGAAGAAAATAAAATGAAAAGGAAAATTATTTCGAAATATTCGTCGTTGTGGAAATTATTTATAGAGGATCATCTCAAAAACCAAAGGGCCACATCTTAGGTGTGGTCACAGGTGTTTGTAAGAGTATTAGTTTAATTTTACATTCACACCCTCAGTTTTTAGGAGTTAACACTAAGATTTGTTATTCAGTAAATGGTTTCGAGTTCGTCTATAAATATATAAAATTTTTATCCACCTTTTTTGTGTCCTTCTTATTAAAGGGGAAAATCTAAATAATGCTGATTTGATTTTGATTGTTTCATGGCATTCTTGTGTTAGACGACAGAACTGCCTGTCGATTCTGGTCGCATCTTCATGATGAACTCTAAAAGTAATTAGCTGGATACGGATAGAAGAATGTGATGAAGATTTTGAGTATAGTTGTTAAACTCATCTAATCGATCATTTTCTATATGATTTAATCTTTACTTATATTTTTATAATTGACTATACGAATAAACTGATATCCCAACAAATCTCTCTCTCTTATTTAAATATTAAATTTCACGAGATATATGTTAAAATCCAATCATCAGCTCTATAAATGGATTGATTCACTTGGAAAACATATATGTAAGAGTTTGATGTATAAGCGAAAGATAATTCAGCAAAAACAAATATGAAAAGATCTAACAACGCAGGCAGATGACTATTTTTATAATACAGAAGTTGTTCAGCATAAAATACATGTACTTCCATCAAGTTGAGAGAAATTAAACGAGGAAATATAATCAATGTAGATGAATGCTGTTTATTTTCTTGCAACTGTCATTGTGAAATATTGAACTGTATCAAATATATCACCTTGAAAAGAGGATGTGGGTGTGTTCTACTGCAGATATTCTCACACCCTTACCTCATTAGTAAAGATAAAAAGAAATCATACTGTTTCTATTCTGTTTATATAAATGAATGAGTCATTAGAAATACAGAAATATAATTACAAAAGGTGAATAGGAAGTGAATCTTTTTTTGCTTTCTATTTTATATGACTTACAAGAATCATTAGAAATAGGTAAGTAATGATTTTTATCTGACTCATATCTAAATCAGAAGCACTTGGAAAAAAATCAAATATCATACTTTCTATAATGATTCATTTAGTCAAATGCATCCTATGTTGGTATTTTCCAAGTTCGTTTTAGTTTAATGTACATATGACTGTTAACATTTAACAGTAATATGTTGTAATCAAATTTTCAAATATTCATCTGTACGAAAATAACTTATTCTTAAGTTGGATATTTTACAACAGATAATAGCATATGTATTAGATGAATTCAAACAATTCTGATAAGTTAAAAGTTCTGTTTTATTGAAATATTAAAAGTGATAATAAAAATAAAATAAGTTTAAGTTTGTTAGATTAAATAAGATGATTCAAATCTTTTATTTTCGATAAGCCACTGGTTGAGCACGTACGGGTAATACGTTAGGACGACCTTGTGCTCCACCTAGAATTTCATAAAAAAGATAAATGATAGAATATCAAAATGTATTCAATACGTACTTCTACTCTTTAGTTCTCGAGCCTCTTGACAAACAGCACACGGTCCACAACAAGCAGTTACAAGACAATCATGACATGGTTCTGGTTTCAAAAGATATTTTTGACGTAATACTTTTCGTTTCATCATGTGTGGGACCCAACATAAATAACAGGCGCTCGATACCCAATATGCAAGACAACATCCTATACAGCTAGTACCATCGGTTTTTTCAACATTATCACCAAACGTACATGGTAGGCAGCAGAATCCACAGCAACACGTTTTAATATCACTAAAACAGCCGAATAGTGATTCTAGAACATAGATAAATAGAAATTCATGAAGAAATTAATAAAACTGACCATTCCATGGTCTGCCTGCATTTGCTTGATCAATTGCATTATTGATATTTTCTGTCTGGTTGCTCATAGTGAGTAGCTCTATAATGTTTATGTATAATAGATAAATTGCGAATGAATGCATATACATGTAAGAGTACAACCATATAAGTATGTTTAAAAAACACGCGAAGCGTGACATTTTCTCTCCTTACATTATCATACTTTTCTTAATTAGACATTATTTACCTGTGTTACTTCCTATTATATTTTCTAATAAAAATATAATATTTAGTTGGTAAAAAAGTATAGAATGAATCAGAATATGTATTACTTGATCAGTATTAAAAATATCTTATTGTGCATAAGTAGCAGTTGAAACATATAGTTTAGACGAGCAAAAAAATAGAAAGGAAACTGTGCTGGAATTCGATAGTGTCAAATATGAAAATTGAATTCAAACTTTCAACTATTCATGTATATAAGCTGGTCGATGAGAATGCTTCCTATTCCCAAAAGTTACACATTCCGGAATCGCTGCACACACCCAACTTAATATCATTCAATTCCGGAATTCCTTGTATACGATTCCTGCCTTTTCCGGAACGGATCGAATTCGATTCCTGCCAATTCCGGAATTGCACAAGTTATACTTCATGTAGAAATGATCCTCCTGAATAATCGAATCGATTCCGTAGCGGAATTCCGGAATTCGTGCACATTCCGGCTTTTCCGGAATCGGTAGGAATGGGCAGGAATTCCGGCTTTTCCGGAATTGCACAAGTTATACTTCATGTAGAAATGATCCTCCTGAATTAATCGAATCGATTCCGTAGCGGAATTCCGGAATTCGTGCACATTCCGGCTTTTCCGGAATCGGTAGGAATGTGCAGAAATTCCGGGAAATGCATGAATTCCGGAATTCCGTATTTTTCTTTATGTCCAGGCTTACATAAATATCAATTGATCTAGTCATTCCGAAATTGGTAGGAATGTGCAGGAATTCCGGAATAGGTAGGAATCGAATGCAAGGAATTCCGGAATTGAATTATGTTAAGTTGAGTGAGCCAAGCGATTCCGTAATGTGTAACTTTCCGGAATAGAATGACTGCTCTGGTCGATAACTATTTTATATATATTTTAATTGTCTTTCTTTTGAAATTGATTCCATATCTCTGCCGAGATATCATTTCCACCGAGATACAAATGCTGAAGTGTCTATGTAGAGAGATAAAAATAACAGTGACAAAAATAAATAGAGACTGTGACTCACCACATTACTTGCAAGAGCATTGACAAGATATTGTGCCTCTTGATCTCCGATTTGATTGTATCCAAGTCCAAGTGTAATGATCGTCTGTATGCAAAAAATGAAAGTTGTATTCAGATTGATAGTTAAAAAATTTAATTTTACCTTGTTATTTTCTAAAGTATTGGCGAGATTTTGTATGCCATGCCTTCCAATTCCGTTGGCGTCTAGATAGAGTGTAGTGAGTATCTGAATAAAAAAGTGTAGATATTTATAAGAAAGAGGAATAAGACACTGCTATTTACTGTGTTGTTTTGTAAAGCATGAGCAAGATATTGTGCACCTAGATCTCCAATTGAATTATTTTGAAGGCAGAGTTCTTTTAGTGTCTGTAGAGAAATATATAAATACTAATGAAAGAAAATGGTAGGGGGATCAAATTTACCGTGTTGTTACGTAAAACATCAGCGAAATATTGTGCTCCTTGATGTCCAATTTGATTTTGCCAAAGCCCAAGTATTGTGAGTGTCTAGAAGAGAAGGTACAAATGAAATTGATAGTTTATTAGAAAATGCGGTTTACGCTGTTATTTTGTAAAGCATGAGCAAGATCTTGTGCCTCGCGATCTCCGATCTGACTGTCGCCGAGGTTGAGTTCGACGAGTGCCTGTATGGAAATGTATAGATATTTATGAGAAAAATGAATAGAGAATGAAGTTTACCGTGTTATTGTATAAAGCATTAATCAAATATTGTATCTTTTGGCCACTGATTCGATTCGAATGAAGATCGAGCTTGGTAAGTGTCTAGACAAAAAAATTTCAAATAAAATGAAAAAGAGACTAACGCTTGCACCCTCCATATAGCAAATGGTTCAGATACAAATGTAGATGAGTGAGAAAAGACAAAATGTCTATTTGTCGTATGTAATCCACTTTTATACATACCTTGCCTGAAGATGTATCAAGTATTTTATTGAGTGTTCTCTCTGTCAAACGATAACCATTGTCCATCCATGATGTTTCAACTCGAACTAAATCCTTAATGCCAGTGCAGTTAATTGGTATCGTGTGAAGCCAGATCTCATTTTCCCGCAAGACATAAGCACTAGCTACAAACCATCGTTTGTCGTGAAGCCAGAAAGAGGATCGAAATGGAGCAATAAGAACTTCAAGATTAATCGAATCATCGTTTTTGTTATCAGTATAAAAGAAGATGAATTCGAATTTATCTAGTTTTGGTAGTTTGATAGAAATGAGGTTTTCCCAATAAGTACTATCGAAAACAGAATCAAGCATTTTTCTTTGAGAAGCCAGCTTGAGATGACGAAGTGAAGGTGTCATCGAAAGTAATAAATCGAGATGACGTGTTGAAAGTGAACAGTGTGGATGGGAGTTATGGTTAGGACAGTTCCATATTAGTGTCGTTCTTAGGAACTGTACCAACAGTTCTTTGAATAGAACTGTTTGAAAACTAATTTTTTGTAAATAAAAACAGTTTTGAGATAGACCAGTTCCTCTGAAAGAACTGTTGATACAGTTCAGTTCTTTTGACCAGTTCATTTGAAGTTGAAACTGTGAACTGTCCTAATGCGGGTGTGGGTAAGTGTCGATGTGGATGAAGTTGATAGAGAGGACAACCACACTCACCCACCCTCAAGATGGCAAAGTGAAGAACTTGTCACTGTGTATATTCATGAAGGTCTTGATGTGAATTCAAAATGAGATATTAAATTTTTGTACGTAAATGCATTCTCATCGTCTTTATTTAATGAAACGATCGGTTATTGCTACAACAAATTCATATAGTTTATCGATTGAAAAAATTTGTAAAAATATAATCAAAGATCAATGCTTAAAATGCGATCAGATGAATCCTAATAAATATAAAATCTCGTTTCAGATGTCTGTTTATTTATTGTAAACTAAACTCGAGAATAAATGTTGTTAAAAAATAATTTTTTAAATATTTTATAGAAAAGAAATATGAATGAATTTGTAAATGATGTTAAAAACGATGATGCAATGGTAGTTTCTTTTCTTTTTACAGAAAGTGAATGAAGAAGATCTGTTCCGTTCAAAGCAAAAAATTCGAATAATAAAATTTTGTTCCGTCCTTAGAATGTGAATGTGTATTTAATCGCTTGGAAAACTCCTATTCCTATCAAAAATGTGTTGAACACTATCGATGTAGTGATTTCTTCAATATGAAGTCATAAAATACTATTCGATCAAAGATTCTTTTTATAAATGATCAGGGTTCGATTTTCATTTCAATTTTGACCAGTATATTCGAAATAGTTGTATGTATTATATTCCATCATCTTTTTTTGATATTAACAAACAAACCATAAGTGAATTAATCAGATATTTTCGTACTGAAAAGTATTTATATCGAGCTCAATATTCTGTAAATATTTAGCAATTTTATTTTTGATCAACAAGATCTTGCGGGTGATTGTATTCTTCTCATTCAATACCCACACCCACACCAAAAAGTAGTACATAATCTTTATTTTATTGCTTACCTCACTACTAAACATTAAAAAAATTATACTTTTTCTATTCTGTTTATATAAACGAATACGTCATTAGAGATACAGACATATGATTACAGAAGGGGAATAGGAAGTGAATCTTTTTTTGCTCTTTATTATATATGATTTTAAAGTACCATTAAAAATAGGTAAGTAATGATTTTTATCTGACTCGTCTCTAAACCAGAAGCGTTTGAAAAAGTATATTTATAGAAAAAATACCATGTTTCTTATAATGATTTATTTTGTCGAATGCATCTTATGTTGGTATTTTTCAAGTTCGTTTTAGTTTGATTGACATATAACTATTAATACTATAATATACTGATATAATTTATTGTGTTTATATCGAATAAAAGCTATACATCATTTAATTGAATAATGTTGATAATATCAAACAAGATTTTTACAAATATGCTAAGTCTTTTCGAATCTTATGCGTTTTTCTTAATCTTAACAGTGAGATATAATTTATTTCATACTAATATGTTGTAATCAAATTTTCAAACATCCATCTGTACAAAAATAACTTATTCTTAAGTTGAATATCTTACAATAGATAATAGCATATGTGTTATATGAATTCAAACAATCCTGATAAGTTAAAAGTTCTGTTTCATTGAAATATTAAAAGTGATAATAAAAATAAAAGAAGTTTATGTTTGTTAGATTAAATAAGTTGGTTCAAATCTTTTATTTTCGATAAGCCACTGGTTGAGCACGTACGGGAAATACGTTATGACGACCTTGTGCTCCACCTAGAATTTCATAAAAAAGATAAATCGTAGAATATCAAGGTTTATTCAATACGTACTTCTACTCTTTAGTTCTCGAGCCGCTTGACAAACAGCACATGGTCCACAACAAGCAGTTACAAGACAATCATGACATGGTTCTTCTTCCAAAAGATATTTTTGACGTAATACTTTCCGTTTCATCATGTGTGGTACCCAACATAAAAAACAGGTGCTCGATGCCCAATATGCAAGACAACATCCTACACAACTACTACCATCAATTTTTTCAACATTATCACCAAATAAACATGGTAGGCACCAGAATCCATAACAACACGTTTTAATATCACTAAAACAGCCGAATAGTGATTCTAGAACATAGATAAATAGAAATTCATGAAGAAATTAATAAAACTGACCATTCCATGGTCTGCCTGCATTTGCTTGATCAATTGCGATATTGATATTTTCCATATTGTTGCTCATAGTGAACAGCTCTATAACTTTTATGTTGGGTTATGTCGTTAGAAAGAAATAGGTATGAAAAAGAAACTATCGAAAGATATTTTTTTTCAATATATAATAAATAAACTGTAAATGAATATGGGTGTACGTGCAGTTACAACTATATAAGTATGTTAAAAAACACGCAGAGCATGACATTTTCTATCTTTACATTATCATACTTTTCTTAATTAGACATTATTTACCTGTATTACTTCCTATCATGATTCCTCCTTCTGCACATATAGTAATCAGACGCACATATTCTTAAAAAAAAGAAAATTATTTATTCGGTACTGTATATAGTATATAACTACTTATACATATACGTAAGCGAAGTAATCACGTTTGAAAACACGTGATACAAAAACTAATTAACATGCGATGCAAAAGTGAAAGACTCAAACATCTCTTAAAAAGCTCTTGTACAGTTTTTTTCAACTTGAAAAATTTGTATTACTCAATTGTTTCGAGCTGCACATATCAAACTAGAGGAAAAAAGGCATCAGAATGTAGCGCATCTAAATCTCTATCAATACCAATATTATGATTGTTTTTAGATTCGTTAGAGATTCTTTAATTAAAAGCGCTTTAAATATGAAATTTTCGTATAATTGAGTCTTTTACAAAAACTATTACTTTACAAAACATTCACGCATTACATTCAGAAATCATATACAAACTCAATTATTTTTGCGTTATTTATTCAAAATATGTCTGATCGTAGAAATCTCCCTGAAAAGACAAGCCAGCATATATTTTGTCTCGCTGCAAAACGGTTAAGTAGTGAGAATCACCAACTTAACTAGTCTCTTTCAGAAAAATCTATAGTTTTGTAGAAAAATCAGAAGTAAAATTAACTTTCAGTATATCATAGAAAAGTGAACGGTTCTCGGTACAAAAATCGCAATTTAAATTCTTTTCTCATTTCTTTTCTGCAGAGAAAAACTAATAGAAAATAGAAAATGACACTATTTGATCGTAAACTGTACGAGAACTTTTCAAGAGACGTTCGATGTATGAGTCTTTCATCTTCTCAGGTTCGTTCTGGAAAAAATATGTACTACAAAATTTGTAATTCAGACTCTGCTCTTTTCAACAAAAAATAGTTTCACTAGTTTAGAACTTAGTAAGACAATCTAAGATAGTCTGACATTTGTGCAAAGACTTTCGCATCGCATGTTACATATTATTCGTCGACAACACCGTTTGTCAACAGACATTTTACCAACAAACGTTTGTTAAGACACTTGAGGGTGTGGGTGTGGCTGTGGCATCCCATCTACGTTCACATTCACACCCTCTGGAATATTAATAACGTGTACACATGCATAATGTATATTTTTAATACGATACAAATGAAATACAATTTGAATTCATTATTTGCTTATCTTCGACTATGATAAAAATAGGAAAGAAACTCTTACAGACATAAATAATAGAAGAAAAAAAACGGTATATCCAAGAAAATTATTCAGTAAAGTTTGTCTTTTTTTTATTTAAGATTTGTGCCAACTAGTGCTATTTGTTGTTAGTTTTGCTGTATGTCTATTATGATGTACGATTGGCCAATTATGCATCCAAGGTCCTGATATACTTGTGTCAAATGGATCATTTTCTTGTCGTTCTTTTAATTCTTTTATTTCATTTTTAATTGATTCTCGTACAGAAGCTTCCTCTAATTTAGTTCGATTAATCTTTGACCATTCATTCCAATCTGGTTTAAAATTTTTATCATCACTTTTAGTCATTAATATATTATCTTTTAAACCATAAAATCCATTAGGTTCATTTGGGTTTTGCCTATTAAAATAAAAGTTATAAAAATATTTAAAAGAATTTTCATATAATAATTTCTACCATCTTAAATCTAAACTCCATCGTATATTTTTACTATAATTTTCCATTGATTTATGTGGAATTAAATTATTTAAAAATAAAACTGAACCAAATGGTACTTCACATGTAACGATAGTTTGTTCATTAACTGGAATATTTAATGTTTTTTCCATTTCTTCAACTGGTACTTCAACATACCATGTACCACCAGTACAACAATTATGTTGACAAGTAAGTCCTGGACGATGACCACCACGTAATAATTGTAAACATCCTTGGAAAATAAAAATAATTACTGGAATAAATCTAAAGAAATAAATTATATACCGTTTTCTTTATTTGCATCTAATAATGGAATCCATGCAGTTACTTGAAGAATATTCCAACATTCTTTATTTAAATCTAAATGGAATCAATAGAATCATCAATGTTAAATAGAAGATTTTACAAGCAGTATCTTGATGCCAAGGAACAGTGACTTGTTCTTGATTAGGTACCTACAAATCGACGAACTAATATATACATATATTTTTTTGAATTACTTTTGATCTTAAATTCCAAACAGGATGTCCAGCAATATCAGGTCCAAGTAATTGTTGAGCAACACTAAGTAATGTCTCATTTGACCATAATGATGCAATTTCTTGTGGTAAAACACCACGTTTATGAAGAAGAACAGCAGCACCTGGAAATTGTGCATCAATTGCAGTTAAACGTTGATAAAAACCATCATTTTCATGTAGATCTTGAATTTTACCCTAATATACCAAAAAGAACTATTTAGATCAGTTTTTCTTTTGAAAAGAAATTTTTTTTACTGCTTGATAAAGTTCTTGTGCCAATTCATCAACTACTCTTTCAATACCATGAATTGTTGATTGTAATTGATCTTGTTTTAATAAATTATGTTTAACAACAAAACCATCTTCAAAAAATTGATAAAACTCATCTTGAGTAAGTGGTCCAGGTATATAATTATGTTGCCATGATGCAATCTCTTTCGATAATGGTGGATAATAAGAACGATCCATAGATATTTCCGACATTTAGAATTTTAAATTATTCTATATCATAAACAAAAATAGCTGAATGATCATGCGCTTGCTTCAGCCTTTTATATAACTTATATTCGTATCTTTTCTTTTCTTATCATTTCTATTATTTTTATGCAAAGAATACAGAAGCCATGCCGCATGTAATAGACGACAAACAAAACAAAGACAAAAATAAATGTTATTGCACTGATAAATTCAAGTTTTAAAATATTGAGGGTTTGGGTCGATGTGAGTGTGGGTGTGGTCGATGTTGGATGTGGTTGAGGGTGAGGGTGTAAACATAGACGAGCGAAAAATGCAATACCCACACCCACACCCTCAGTACATAAACTCGATATATATATATAAACGTGTGAATGTCAACTAATGAGTAAAAGGTAAAAACTAATTACAAGCAAAGTTTATGATACGATCTAGATCATAAAAGTGTCTTTAAAAGAGCAAAATACAAAAACGCCAAATATATCGATTATCATATATTTATATAGTTTAACAAGAATAGGATTTTAAATTATATTATTAACTGATATTTATTACATAATAGAGGATATATGAATTGTATAACTCATTGATGTCGATGTAGATTAATCTATGTTAAGTACTATGATAATCGTGTTTGATATACTCATTTACGTGATTGAACAGATCTTGTGCAAGCATATATATTTATTTTGTTATGCTTGATTTTTTTACAAACAAAAAAATGGTCACTCATAGTTCTAATAGATAGCATGACAACTAAAAGTTCAAATAACATATAATGAGAGTAGTAACGCTTTTATAACCTTTGAAGAAATGTTAAATGTCATGAAGTAAACATTACTATTGAAATATTTTCTATACAAATATAGATGTTGAATAATATCGATATCACGAAAGAAAGAATGAGTAATAATGATATAACAGTTTGTCAATCAAAACAGATTTATTATAGTTTAATATTATCTACATGTATATGTTAACTTTGTATAAACTAGATAGATTTTGATTGATTTTCTATTTCTTTAATAACGAGTGATCGTTTGCAAAGAAACGAACAAGTTGAGCATATGTAAAATATTGATATATGACTCAGTTTCAATTGAAAAAAATATTGTTTTTTTTTCTTAGTTTTTTCTTCTGTTATGTAAAAAGTGTCATATATCGTCATGGTTTATTAGTTGCTAGTTAAAATTCTTAGGTAATAATTGATTCGAGTCATTTAACTTGTATTTTTCATACATTCACTTTCTGTAATCATGCGATATAATAGATATGGACCTGTAAAACCGAACTGGAGTCCTTGGAAAAATTTACCATTAGTGATAGCTGCAGGTGCCGGGACAGGTTTAGTTGTTATAGGTACAATATTAGGATTAGGTTTAGGTATTGGATTACACAATGATAGTCAAAATCTTACTTATTTCACAGACAGTACGACTAGTACTACAACAACAACAGCAACAACCACAACAACGACAGTATCGACGGCATCTACAACAACATCAACGACATCAACATCAACAACGACAACAACGACTACGACAACATCAACATCAACATCAACAACGACGACAACGACAACATCAACAACGACAACGACCACGACAACATCAACAACGACAACAACAACAACGACAACGACAACAACTGTAGCAGGAGGCTAGTTATAATAAATAGATATGTTTGATTATTTTGTCAAATTATTTATATATATGTATATTGATTCTTTTTTTTATTTTTCATCGCTTTCTACATCTGTTTATGTCTCTCATATAGATATACTAACAAAAAATAAAAATATCAGAATTGTTCATGTATGTGAAAATTATTTATTAAAATAATCTGTATTTACTTTCAAGAACGTATCGTACAGTATAATTGCACTTACTATTGAAAAATACTATCAATGCCTTCGGACAAAAACAAAATATCATGCTGGGTACTGAGTTTATCTCGAGAATGGACAAAATCTTATTCAACGATAGAAATATTTGTAAATTTAATAAATGGCTTTTAAGTACCAATTTATTCTATTGACAAAACAATATTACATTACATGCATATCAAAAGTCATTTGTATAATATGAAACACGTGCGATATATTTTGGTAGAAAACACAAAAGGTTATCAAATAGTTTTCATTTCTATATTTTTGTTTATTACCTGTGAGATATTATCATGAAAATTTTTCTTTTGAAAATGACTAACAAATGTTAAACAAAATTACATGTTTATTGCGCTTTTATATAGTATCAACATGTGTTTATACGAAATACTTTTTGATTAAAATATCAAATCACGCGTGTTGATTATTATATTTTATCGTTCCTCTATTACCAACTAGTAGAAGCTATATATGATAATCAATATATTAGAATAAGAAACTTTCGAGTAGTTATACATACAAAATAAATAGTTGCTCCTGTTACGTAATTATATTTGTATCTAGAGTTTTCAAGCACGCTATTTTTGATTATACAAAGGAGAAAATAATTATTTTTAAAGTCTTGAGGGTGTGAATGTGGGTGCTAGGTGAATACACTATTCATATCCACACCCACACCTTTCTTGTTTCTCTTTTTCGTTATTGATGCTGATATACTATTATATCACTTTTTTTATCGGTTGTTAGATGCCGCTTGCTCCTACAACTATTACCGCCGAAAGATTTAAATGTCAAATAATGTGTTAGTGTAACAAACTAACATCAGTAGTTTCTCGAAATGCATCAACGATATTTTGATAAAAAATATGTTTATTCTTATATAGTTTATTGGGTCACTTTCATATATGGGTATGAATTTACACTTATTTAAAAGAACAACAAAATGATACGCCTATTTAACATTAGTTTTTTCGTTTCATCATAGTTCATGGTTGAGCGCAAACGAAGAGAAAGGCCTTTCTTCTTCTCGTTCTACGATAATAATATATGAGAAGAAGAAGAAGAAAAGAAAAAAGAAAAATATATCCTTCGTTCTGTATTCTCTATGCGTATATATATTCATTTGTATTGTGTATCGAATATTAAATAGGCAAGAAAATTATACACACACGTGCAACTCGTCACATTTCAATACTAACAAACAATGTATACATATGCACGTGCTTTAGCACAATTGAGTAAGATGAAAATTTTAATGTGAACTGACAAGTGAGGGTTTACTATGAATTATGTAAATTTTTTTTGATATTTCCTAAATTAATACAAAGTTGATGAGACGAGATGCTATCTATCGTTCGATTCAGATAAATATAGTATATTCATATACCACTCATAGTGTCTTATTTTAACTCTGATCTTTTCGAGTAAATAACGAATCTGATGAGGTATTCGGCACTAAAAAACATCTATAAAGAAGCGATTAGATCTAGACAAATAGGCAACATATTTATAATCTATTTGACAAGTACTTTCTGAAAACCTCTGATAAAAAGAACTGGATCTCTTTTATTTGATTAGAATCAATCCAGATTGTATGTCGAAGATTTAACTCGTGTTCAATAGATAATCAATTCCGTCTTCGTCGTGCTGTTGATACTGACAATGTTCCACTCGCTCAACTTAATCAACAGAGTTTTTTTGAAACATATGTTGATGATTGTGATACTCCTTATAGTAAAGATGATATAAAGAAGTATTTTCGTACGTCAGTTAGTCCAGAAACATTTGCAGATAAAATTGCCGATTCAAAACAAGCAATATGGATAGTTGAAGACAAAACAAATGATGAAATTGTTGCATTTGCTAATGCTGGTCCATATAATATGCCTCTTTCCAATGTTCAAGCAGAAAACGATGGACAATTTTATCGACTCTATATTCAACGTAATTATCAAGATTATGGACTCGGTCATTGTCTTATGAAAGTGGCTTTATCATGGCTAGAAAAACAATTTCCTGGACGACCTATCTGGCTTGGAGTATGGTCAGGTAATTTGAAAGGTCAAGAATTTCATAAAAAATACAATTTTCATAAAGTCGACGAACGATATTATCAAGTTGGAAAATTCAAAAGACATAGCTTCGTTATGCGACGTGACAGTTCTTCATCCTAAAATATGATTTTCTTCATATATTTTTACTTATTTCACAATGGAAGATAATTAATGCTTGTGTTTTTTTTTCCTAAATTACGAGAAAGCGTTTACGAATTAATCAAACAAATACTATCGTAGTGAATTAGTGTCACAGCAGAAAAAATTAAGCAAAGAAAATAAAAGAAAAATCCCTAAATAATTGTAATTTTTTGAAAAAAACCCGCAAGTAATCGGCAAAAGGTGCTGAAACTGACGACCATCTCGAGTGTGTATTTAATAAAAAATAATATAATTATAACCTGTGTATGAAAGCTACGATTGAATCTATTCATAGATATTAATAATAAATGACGAAGAACAGAAGCACATGGTTGATATTTTCGTATTATAAACAAACGTTGCTGACGTAGTTTATACTTTCTTAGAATGCACATATTTTATTTATTTTAAAAAAAAGAGTAAATACATAACGGACAATAAAAATGTCTTGTTTTGATTATTTTGTTGAAATCAAAGTTAATGGAAACTTTGAGTTTTTTCTTAGCTTTGTTCAACTGGTGTTGGACTACAAGTATGACATCCTGGACATTGTTCTCCACTACTGCTTGTTGTAAAAGTTTGTTGAGCATTCGCGCATGCTATATCTGGACATGCTCTTTTTGGACATGAAGGACAACGTGGACATCCTGCACATTCTTGACCATTGACGGTTGTAGAAGTTGGTTCAGCATTTGTGCATTTTATTGCTGGACACTCTAGTATTGGACATGAAGGGCAAGTTGGACATCCTGGACATTCTGTACCATTGACGGTTGTATTAGTTGGTTCAGAATTTGTGCAGTTTAGTGCTGGACATTCTGGTAATTCACATTTAGGACAACTTGAACATGCTCGACATTTTGTGCCATTAAATGTTGAAAAGTTTGGTGTAGGATTTTTACATTTTGGTTTTGCACACTTGATATTTGGACATTGAGGGATCTATTAATAGAATACTGATCAGGTAAGATTGAGTTGAAATCAAACTATTACTTACGCGTTTAGCTGATTGATCATTTGTTCCATCTGGTGCTATTTAAAAAAATGTTTCAAATAAAATTTATAATTTGCTTTCGACGTATAAATAATTACCTGGTGCACAGTATGCACACACGATTATGCACAAAACGCAAATAAGCTTCATCGATATCATCATATTAAGTCGTAGTTTTTTTGTCTACCAAAAATATATATAATTCGTTGACTATTTTATCGATCGTTTATATACAAATCGAATGACTAAAACGATAGGGTAGAACAAGAAAAAAAATGTCGTCAGAAAAAAACTATAAATAGAAAGGTGAAACATAAGTGCAATTACACGTTATATATCCACTGACGTTATTTAATGATTCAAAAATCATCTACGAACATAAAAATCTATAAATAATCAAGGACGATATACCAAGTACTACGTAATAAATAAAATATCAATAAATTGTCAGAATTGAACTTCACTAAGTCATCAATATATTTTTCTAATAAAACAAAGTACTTAAATATTTTGACGATAATTTCTAATAAGGAAACACGCATGAATAACATTAACGAGAATGCTATTATCAATGTATTGCTAAAAATAATTTTTTTTCAAAGAAAAGTACCCAGAGATAAAATAAAACAATCTTCTTTATTCCTTTTTACCCGAATGATTTTCTAAAAGAAAAGCTTTTTCTCAGCATTAAAAAAAAATAGTAAATTTTTTTTCTAAAAGGATCTATAAATAGCTGAGTATGATGAAATTTCATGAATATCAAGAGCGTAATTTCAGATTGTAGTAATTTTATCAATTATATCGATTTCATGTTCATTTTTAATTTTTGTTTATTTTGATCGGCAACGAGAAAAAAAACATCCCACACCCACACCCTCAAGATATTCTATTCGTCTTTAGTCAAATGATTTTCAAAGGAATATATTTATTACAAAGTTTATTTATCAAACAACGGAATTAAGACTATTTTTCGAAATTAGAAACTAGTGATCGTTATTAAAAAAATCGAAATCGTTTTCCACACCCACACCCTCAAGAGGATAATTTTTTTTCTTCAAAAAAATATAAACGCGTTCAAGGATAAAAATTTTCACATGGCTAATTATATAAGTCATATTTTTTAAAACCTTTTCATAATTTCTCTCATATATATATATATATATATATAGTCTTGAAAAGAGAACATATATTCTCACTTTTGTGTTGATATATTGATGGACGAGATTGATGAATCGCCACTAATCTTCGATATTAAATTCTCGACTATGGTTATCTTAATGAGTATATCTATTCCATGTTCAATTTGCATTTTTATTTATTTTTATCGACACCGAAAGAAAATTTCAATTCATCAACATCTAACTCTTATATTAGTTATTTTCTGTTTCATGGATATGATCTTTAATTATCCAATGGCTATGTTCCAGAATCGACACAGAAGAGTTATTTTAGAAACACCAAGTTTTTGTGCATGGTGGAATTGGTGGGCTTATTCATCGACTACTGCATTAGTATGGATTGCTGCTTATGGTTCAATTGAACGACATTTACTTATATTTCATAATGGTATTATGGCAACAAGAAAAAGACGATTCTTTCTCCACATTCTACCAATGTTAACTGCAATTGTTTGCTCTTATACATTCTATTTCGTTGTCATTGTTTTCCATTCTTGTGACGACTATTGGGATTATACTGCAGTAAGTTCTATAGAATTTTTCTTCTACAATTGAAATATTTTATTATTTTTCATTAGCTGCTTTGTCTTTTACCATGTTATATATACAGTGAATCTACAGTTGCATTATATGATTTTGTAATGCATACAATGATGCCATTAAGCATAGTAACTGTAGCAAATGTGGCTTTAGTTATTCGAGTATTATGGCAAAAAAGAAATCAACATGGAGATTGGCAACGAAAATGGAAATTAGCTGCACATCTTATATTAATTGCTATCTTCTTTATGATTACTTGGTATCCATTGGCAATCAATAGTATTATCTACATGTATACATCGTCATCGGTATCGACGGATTTACAAGTGAAATATTTCTTTTTTCTTCCGAGTTTATTGGAAATGACACTTCCAATAGTTTCGGTATTTTTTCTACCAGATTTCAAAAAAGTAGTTTTTAGATTCCGACAAAACACTATCATCCCGCTTAATTTAAATCATTAATATTATACTGTAAATGTTGTCACGTAATACAACTTCGTTTTTAAATGCTTTTTTATGTTGTTCTAAACTCTAATAAAACAAAAACCATAGCACTATCAACTTCACGTGAAGAATATCAGAAAAAAACATCATGCCTTTGATTTGAAACTATATTGTTTGAAGATAAAAGGAAATGTTTTAACTGTCTAATGAACACTCTTTTCTTCTCTAATTATGCCATTTGTATATATAGCCTTGAAAAAAACAGTAAATGTTGTCAGTTTTCTACGGATATACCAATGGCGGAGGATGATGAATTGTCACGAATCTTACAAGCTAAATTTTGGATTATACTCATTTTATCAAGTGTATCTATTACTTGTTCCATATCAATATTTATCTATTTCTATCGACAACGAAATAGAATATTAATGCATCATCATTTAATTCTTCTCTTAGTCATTTTCTGTTTCATAGATATGCTTATCGACTATCCATTTGTCATGATCTATTATCGTTATCGAAGAGTTATTCCTGCAACACCTAGTTTTTGTTTATGGTGGAATTGGTGGGTTTATTCATTAACTGCTGCTTTTATATGGGTTGCAGCATGGGGTTCAATCGATCGACATTTACTTATATTTCATAATGGTGTTATGGCAACACGAAGACGACGATTTGTTTTTCATACACTTCCCATGCTAATTGCAACTATTTATCCGTATATTTTTTATTTTATTGTGATTATTTTGAACTCATGCGAAAACTATTGGGATTATAATTATGTAAGTTTTATAAAATTTTTTCTACAAACTTATATATAGAAAGATTTTATCATTATTGATTAGGTCTTTTGTCTTCAACCATGTTTCGGATATAGTCAACCTACTGTTGCATTATATGATTTTGTGATGCATACAATGATACCATTAAGCATAGTAACTGTAGCAAATGTGGCTTTAGTTATTCGAGTATTATGGCAAAAAAGAAATCAACAAAGAGATTGGCAACGAAAATGGAAATTAGCTGCACATCTAATATTAATTGCTATCTACTTTATGATTACTTGGTATCCTGAAGCGATTAATAATATTGTTTACATATATACATCATCACCGGTATCAGTTAGTTTACAAGTGAAATATTTCTTTTTTCTTCCGGCTATATTAGAAATGACACTTCCAATGGTTTCATTATTTTTTCTACCGGATTTCAAAAGAACAGTTTTCAGATTTCGACAAACTACTGTTAGGCCTGTAACTTTTAATCTTCAGACAATGACGGCTAGAAGACTTTAGATTTTTAGTGATATTATATTGTAGATGTTGTCACGTAATACGATTTCGTTTTTAAATGTTTTTTCATGTTGTTTTAAACTCTAATAAACAATTATTAAAATATCCTGAAGTCGGTACTTTTTTATATTGTATACTGAAGCATATTTCTAAATCTCATTTGTGCGTGACAAATATGTGTTTGACGTATATCACATTTTTTTTTATTTTTGAAACCAATGAGTTGTTCTGTTTTTGCACGAATACACAATTTTGTGTTCATTAACCTATTCCTTCAACTATATAAATTAAGGCTTAATATAATGGTTGGAGAAAAAGTGTTGAACAATGGCGGATGTGGATGAAGATGGGTGGGTGTGAGTGAGGTTGTGACTGTGACTGAATGTAAATATGGAATGAATAATATACTCACCCACACCCCTAGTTGATTCGCACTACACGATTGAAAAATCAATGTTATAGTCATTTATTCAGATACCTTAACAAGAAAAAGATTTCTCTTTTTTTACTGATATTTATTAACATTGACTGATGTTGTTATGAGACACATGTGCACATAGTCAAATAAATAACATAAATCTTTACTTTTTTTTATTGTTTTATAGCAAGTAATTGATCTCATGAAAGTATCAAGTAACAGAGCAATGTTTTATATACCACATAACTCAAATTGTATATAGATGCGATGACTGAGAAGAAACTTTTTATTTCGAATGTTTATTAAAACATCGTCTGAATCTCACGAAATGTCTTTCAATCTTTGAAAATTCATCCTGGTTCGATTATCATTCGAACGAAGTGTGGACGCAGCTGTGATCAATATATCTTTTTTTTATTAGAAAAAAATAATAAATCGTTGGCTTTCGCGTGGGAGCACTTCGAGCATTTTTCCGTTCTTCCTCTATTTGAAGATTATAAACACGTTTTGTGCTCTCATATCGATCAAAGGTTAATTTAGCAGTTAAAGAAGAAAAAAGATTTTTTTAGTCTGTCATACGACAATGTCGGGAGAAAAAGGCAGAGAAAACGTTCTTCATGATGTGATTACCATTTGGTTGGATGAGTTGTTAACAAATCCTGAAAAACAATTGCTATTCGAACGAAAACATGATTTATTTTACTGCGTCAAGTCCATTCGTCCATTTCTCGATACAACTACCTGTCAAGAATACATTGAAAAGACGAATGATGTGCGGATAATTCTGATCGTTTCCGGTTCTCTTGGTCAAACATTTATACCTTCCATTCATGATTTGACTCAGATTACTTACGTCTATATCTTTTGTTTCGATATAGATAAGCACAACAGTTGGACAAAACAATGGAATAAAATCCGTGGTGTCTACAATAATGAGAACAGTTTATCAAGGAAGCTACAGGATGATTTAAGATCCTTGACTGAAGTTAACTTGCCATTTGGATTATTTGAGACCGGCCAACGTTCATTGAAAGATTTGACTAGTGAACAAGCTTCTTTCATGTGGTCTCAGTTAATCACTGAAGTTCTTTTACGTTCACCACAATCATCCGAAGCCAAAGCAGAGATGATCGCCGAATGTCGGTTGAGTTATAAAGACAATGAAGCTCAATTGAAGAACATTGAAATATTTGAGAAGAGTTATCGAGAAAATGAAGCAATCGAATGGTACACTAAAAATGGCTTTATCTTTCAATTATTTAATAAAGCTTTTCGTCGACAAGATTTCGAAGTGATTTTCAAATATCGTTATTTTCTTCTTGATTTATTCAAAGAAATACACTCCCTATACGTTCATCAGTATCAAAATGTAGAACACCATTTAACCGTTTATCGTGGACAAATGATGTGGAAAAGTGAGCTTATGAAAATAAAACAAAATGTTGGTCATTTAATATCCATCAATACGTTTTTCTCAACATCTATTTCATCGATTGTTGCAGCGAATTTCTGTGGCGATGGTGAATATGAATCCGAAGGGATTGTCTCAGTCATATTTGAAATTAAACTCGATGGCAATGCTCCGAGTCGTCCATTTGCTCAGATCGAAAAGTCAAGTGTGAATGAAGACGAACGCGAAGTTCTCTTTTCTATGGGTACTGTCTTTCATATTGAAAATGTCGATCTGGAAACAGATACAATCTGGTTGGTGAAGTTAACTTGGAATCATCAGACACAAGAAAAACTCGAAGAGATGAAACAGCTCACTGGTCTGCTCGATTTTTATACTCGTCAGCGTATCGGTGATCGCCCATCAATATTAATGTTTGGTTACTTTCTTTCTGAAATGGGTCTTTTACGTCAAGCATTGCGTTTCTATACCTATCTATGTAAAGCATTACCCAAAGATCATTCAGATCGAGGAATCTTGTATAACAATCTTGGAGAAGTTTTACGAAAATTAAACTATTTCAATCGAGCACGTTATCAATTTGAGAAAGCATTAGAGTTTTGCACCGATACTATGTCAATTTATCATCCGTTCTGGGCTATCATACATAGTAATATTGCTCTACTTAATTTCAGTTGTAGAAAGCCGAAAGAAGCTCTAAAATGCTATCGTTCTGCTGCATTTATACTTTCTCGATACACCGCCTACAATGATGAGTGCAAATTAATCTACATTGAAGAAGCTTTAGCTATCATATATCATGGTATGGGTGCAGCATTGATCTATCTCGCAGAATATCAGAATGCGATTGCCTACCAGCAGAAAGCTTTAAAAATAGAACTACGTATTTTACCAAATGACCATCCAACATTAATTGAATCTTATTATGAATTAGGCAATTTATACATGAAATCAGAGGAATATGTTGAAGCATTGAAAAATTTTGAAACTGCTTTGCGAATAGCCCAAAAGAATTTACTCGAGAAAGATCAACGATATATTTGGCTTCATGTGAATATTGCAATTTTAACCTTTTATGTCGAGAGAGATACATCGAAAACGTTGAAACATTGTTCTGATGCTCTAGAAATTATCGAACAAACGAATATAGCACGGTCGAGCAATTTGTATCCTGATGTGTATCAGAAATTAGCGATTTTATACTTTAATCTAAATCTTCTACCTCTCGCTTTCAGCATGTGGGAACAGTACATGCAAACAACCAAGTATCAAGCAATAGCCCAGAACAACCATATTGATCTTTCTGAAGTGTGCAGACAAGTCAACATCATCATGTCTTCTGAGACAAATTCGAAACTTAATCCAAACTACCTGCTACTCCATCAAGACAACTCTCATGAGATCATATCGATTCCTAAGCTTGAAAGCATGGGCCTATGTGAATTTGCAGATAAATGTCGATCAACAGGATATATTAGCTACGCTATTCGCTGTTATCTCTGTTTGTTAGAGCAGCAGCCTGTCACCAATGATCCTCATTTCGATCAGGTACATAAATCTCGTCTTCATAATAATTTAGCGGCATGTTATCAGGATTTAGATGATAATGAAAAAGCTTTGTATCATTACCAATCTGCATTGGATATTTTGACAGTTGAGAATAAAGAAGGAAGCTTACAAACTGCGATTATTCATTATAACATTGCTTTAATTCATTTCGAACTGGACGAATTGAATCGAGCAGAAGAACATTTACATAAAAGTTTAGCTCAATACAAAAAGCAATTAAACCATCAATCCGATATATTAGATGTGAAGATCTATATTGCATTGATCAAGATTTACCAACGATGGAGTAACTGGCACATGGTGTGTAATTATTATCAATGCATCGTCGATCAAATGAAAATCGACAGAGCAGAACCATCTATTATTGAAAAATATGAAAAACTTTTACAAAATGCAATTGAGAAAATCAATGTTGATTGAATTTTCTCCTGACTTTATCTATAGATCAACAGATACTTATTCGCACATCGTCATCCAGAAAATTTTTGTTGACTTTTCTGAGGGTGCGAACGATGGATTTGTTAGGAGATGCTTAATATTTTTTTTGACGTATTTTTATGTTTAGACGTATAGTGACTTTGATTGAGAGTGTGGGTGTTCATTTGATTCATATCTACACCCAGGATTGAAATAAAATCTTTTATTCGAATAGATGCATTAAGAAAATTTGCTTTTCATCGTCCTAAAGTTATTTAATAGTTCTTTGGGTGGGGTGAATATCCTTCGTTAATCTAATAAGAACTCTTACGCCCACCCCTTTTTTACTTACAATATTTAAGTAAATTCTTTTCTTTTTTTATCGTCATATTCACAAAAGAATAAATATCGATATTTATTCATATAAACTGTTATGAAGAAAAACTATTCATAAGAGAAAGAAAATACTTTCAACATCTATTTCATGTATAAATTCTTAATATAAATTAAAATTTTTTAATTCAAATAATACGTACATGTTTACACATATTTTTATGTAAAAAAACGTTATTTATTGATATTTGATTTTTCTTTTTTTCGTTAGAATACATACCCTTAGTAAATAGGTGAAAAACGATGAAAAGAGACCGAATTTCCTGGAAGAAAATTAGTGAGAGACTGCTCGAAGATCGACGCTAAATATAAATCATTGAGACTAATATTAAGAATGCTCAAACACTAAAATCAGGACCGAGATAGATCGATGCCGAGTCTCTCAGTCTTGATACATCTCTAGAAAATAAATATAAAATAGATGTGAATGTGTGTGTGAATAAGAATTTGAGTGTATCATATCTACTCTACCCACCCACGCACCCCACACATTATATTCTAGTACTTTAAATACTTGCATTAGTTAGATTAGAATATGGATGCATGAAACTTTTCATGGCTGGATAATTGCTTATTAATCAATCGTTGAAATGGTTTTTCAACGAAAATGAACCAAATAACAGATGTGATGAGAGTAATTATTAATACAAGTATTAAGCATATAATTGCTAGAATATCGATTGAGTAGTGTGTAGGATCAAATATATGACTGTGAGTCATTATTAATTCGAATGCAATTCGACAATGAATTACATATATAAAATAACTCAATTTAGCAATCGGTGTCCAGATAGGATGCGATAGAAATGATCTAATCCATGGACTATAGTAAGGATGTGTTCGTGGACAAATAGCTGAAAAAAGAATAAATGCTTGTGATGGGTGGGGGTGTGGGTGTGGACATGAGTGTGGATTTATCTTTTCTTCACCCACACCCTTAAAGTTATATGATCAGACTGTCGAAAAAAACCTTTAATATTTTTAGTTTTCCTAAGATTTTCAGTTGATCTGAATATTGATTATATTCACGTCCTCAACAGTCTTACTCGATATGTGTGAACAAGTTGTTGTTATTGTTTACTAATGTATATAAATCTCTACTGATTGTTAGTGACTTGAATTCAGTACAGAAGCGTAGATCAAGCGAAAAAAAATACTAGTCACACAGATATTTATCGTTCTCTTTTGGTTGTGAATTATGAGATATCTAGTTTATTTCTTATTGATTTTTCATTATAATATTCTATAGCTTATTTATACTTTGCTCTGGAAAATTTTCAATATTTATCGTTACTGTTTCAAATAGAGACATCCACATCATCGATATTTATTATTTCTACTTAATTCTTTCATAATTAATACATTAAAATATATTATTTTACTGGTTGTATAATTACAGCTGTTCGAGCATTTCCTCTACGGTTCATTTCTATTGTTCGTGGAGACAAAGGATATACTGGTCGTTTCCAAAATAAAATTTTTATTTTAAGTTTTGTTCGAAGATCAGGAAGTGAGAAAATAGTTGCAAAAGGAATCACCATAATGATATGAGGAATGAAAAAAATACTCGAACCATAATAATCAAGAGCGCCAGTGCTAAGTGGCACATTGGATGCGAACATAAGATATATAATCATAGAGGGGAAATAAAAGATTAGATAAATACTAGCAATAGGTAACAATTGAATTGCCATTTTTTGATAATTGCGCCATTGAATTCGTTGACGTAAACGACGTTTTTGCCATAATACACGTACAACAAGAAGAAAACTAAATGTAACAATTGTAAAAGTAGGAATAATTTGATGTACAATACTATCAAATTTTCCAATTATTGGATCATAGAAAGCGCAAAAAGAATAACCACAACGCATTATTTTATAGTCAAGTGGTTGTTGACAATTCATAATAATGAAAATGTATATATAAAATAGAATAGGATAAACTAAAAATAGAAGCAAAGGTATGTAATGAAATAATAGACGACCTCTTTTTGTTGAAACCCATTTATCATGAAAGATAAGAATATGTCGTTGAATAGATGCCCATGCAACTAAAATTGTTATTGTTACAAATATCCCAAGATCAATAAATACCCATATGAGGCAAAATGTTGGTATTTGAAATAAGGAAACATGAACTCGATAATAATGCATCAACCATATAACATCAGTTAACTCATAGATAAGACCAAGAATAAGAATTAAAATAATCACATGATTATTTAGAGCTTGACGAAGTGTTCGCTTAGTGAGAAAATGATAAAGGATGAAAATTGAACATGGTATTGATGGAATTAGAAGAGGAAAATAGGTGTAAAACCGAACTGTAGCTGGAATTAGCATAAAAGATTTTTCTTCAATTGAGTATTGCTTGTAAAATAAAATATGAGAAATGAATTAATATAATAAAGGAAAGAGAGTAAGAATAAAAGAGACGACACATGCTCTATTATTTTATTCGTCAATTAGAAGATTATGTGACCTATATAAAAATTAAAACAATACATAATTGAACAAGTTACTATATAAAGAATACTCGCTTCTTTGATTTAACTCGACTAATTGGAAAAGCAATTATAATGAGAAGATTTCACAGCACTTGTATTTATTAAAATATATAAAAATAAGTAAAAACATGACTTTAGAATATTTTTAAACTCTATATTTTTTATTAATTATCTGTCTAAACTTTCTCTGTTGATTCTCTCACTTGTTAGAAGAGAACAAAAAACAATCAACAATAAAAGACACTATCAAGAAAAGCAGTAATGAATCAACCTTGAATGATTACTTAAAGAAAAAGAGAGTTTAGAAAATCATTTTCTCAGTTTTCATTACTTGTGAATAACTTGAATACAAACAAATTCGTCATCTTATACAACAACAATTAACTTGACACATAAAAAATTTCTCCTGATGATTTTATACTCTTTGAATAATATTATGAAGATTTTTTGACAGGTAGAAAATTTGTCATGCGTATTTAATATAAAAAAATTGTTTTACATGTGTAAAAATTCTACTGAGTATTTCAAAATAATTTCAACATCATTTGTTTTAAACATAATCTTGATCTGTTATATTTGCCATTGTTAATTTAAACAATTTTTAAAAACATTTTCTCTATGAACTTCTACATTAACAAATGATGATCTATAAAACATTATGAGTATAAGATGTTACTGAGTTGTTATTTTATAATTTGTATCGTTAAGACTCAATGGTTTCGAAGAAAGAATATTTGATTGAGATGAAAACTCTTGTCATTGAATATTGTCAAATATTCATAACACTCTCATCTTTCTCTTACAAATGAACAAACTTTAAAATTTTATTGCTTTTTTAATCTTTTCAATCCCGATAGTTTCTTAAGTTCTGTACAAGCACAAAAAAAATAAAAAACCTCTCTGGCCTGTGTATAATCAGTTGTATTTGAATCTAGTGTGATTAATTAGACACAAGAGATAACAAGAAGTTATTGTTGTGAAAAAAGCCATGTGTTATACCTTGATTGAACGTCATATGATTTTCGTCTTCGAGGAGACTGGGTGGATATGGATGCTAGGTGAATACAATATCTACACTCACCCACATTTTTGACTCAGTAAGAGTGTTCATATCTCACTCAAGAAAACAATTGTTAAAGTCAATTCAAATAACAAATTGTGCTTCATTCACTTGTTTTCTATATGAGGCATATTGAATTGTAAAAGGATTCGGTTGTTTGTTTAGCTATTTATCCATTTTACTGATGACGAAGCAAAGTGAAGCACTTTTTGATGTTCCACAGATGGATCTTTACGATAGAATGGCCGTAATAGAACAGATCTTGCTAGTCAGCATTTGATTGTTCCAAATGATCTAAGTAACATTTTTTGGTCGAATTTCATTCTTTGCTACGAATGAGCGACAGAGCTAATGAAGTATGATACTATTCGTATTTGATATCTATCACTATTCGGAAAAGATACACCGTTTGATGTTCTCCAAAAAAGATCTAATTAATTCATTAAATATAATCTTATTCATTTGGTTAACAATAATCGATGAAAGTGTTAAGATATTAAGTCACATCAGTCTTTTAAAATGATCTTTTTTGAAAACTATCTCGAACATTAATTTTTTAATGTTAAGCAGGTTTCAATTCTATTTTATTGTTAGTCCGACATTTTGTCTAATCATTTTCAGTTTATGAATAATATTTTTAGGGATGAGAGCTACACTAACATAAAATTTTATTACATAACAAGCTGAGAAATTATGGTATGAGAACTTTTTTCCGAAACAAAACTTTCGAAACTTGTGAGATTTCATCATTTTTCAATAGGTTAGAAATAATATCGTACCATAAATTCATCAAATTCGTCTTTCATTATCCAGTAGTCTATGCAAAAGACGCGAATACTATACGAATAAATTAGGAAAGTTCTGAAATAATGAAGAAGCATGGGTTATTGACGGATGAGTCGTCGCCATCGTCTGAACGATTCTTGAAATGTTTTTCTGTACAACTCTGAAGGAAGGACAAAAACAATAAAGATAAGCATTGATGGAGTAAATGAAATGAAATAACCAAAAATAAATAATAATCGATGATTAGATGGATTG